AATATTGTTATAACTTTTGTTTTTGTACATATTTTTTAAAAAACGTTTTGGGACAGTAATTCTATGATACTATGGAACATTTTTAAGCAAAAAAAAAATCGATTTTTTTGAAATTCTAAACCAGAAAGTCCCCTTAATAAATTACACTGGTCGACACGAAAAATGGTTTAAAGATCGGACAAGGCTATTCTTATAGGATTTTCATCGCTGAACACGAATCTGACCTTTAAAAGTTCCCATCACGTGGAGATTTTGAGAAAAATGGACTCAAAGTCTCAAAAAACTTTGTTTTTGGCCTTTTTTTCATCACGTGTAGAGAATGATGCCGAGGAGCTAGAAGTCTCTTATTAGTCTTAAATTAAAGCTTGAACTGTCAACTATAAGATTCAAATCAAAATAGCTCTGAACCAATCAAAAATTTTCATATAGCACAACTTTTTCATGTGCGCGCGCACTCTACTTGCACACTCATAGAGCGGTACACAATGGCACACTTACTTATTAATTTTATTTGCGCTATTTATTTTTATTTATCATTTTTGGATTGTTCACTGAACATTGCTGATTAAATGTAAGGTTTTTATTAAAAAATCCAAAATAGCGACTGAAACTTCGTATCTAGGGGTTTTTGAGGTTTTTTAAAATATTTTTTAATATCAATATTTCTTTTCTTTGAAATATTCCTAAACCAATTATTCTATTAATATGGAATCTCAACAAACTCACTGAATAATAGTGAGGCTTGGACATGTTACAAATTTTAAAGTTGGACCTTTAACAAATAGAAATTATACAGTAATAAGAGAGTGCGTTTTCGCAGTCCAAGACTCGTTCAAAATCTTAAAGTCGAACTTTAAGGAATTGTTGGTTCAAGAAGGGAACCAATTCCGATTTTCGCAAACAGGGACCGAAAAAGAGACTGATTAAAAGAAGGTGGACGACGCTCCGGGTAACCGCATCGTTCATTCCTACTCTCCAGAAAACTTGAAACAAGTTCAAGGTGAAGGGAAAATTTTTGAATAGAAGAGAAAATTAAGGTTTCTAATTTGCTGAAAAACAACATAACAATCACGCCCTAAACACAGAAATTGAGTATTAAAAACCCTTAGGATTCATGTGAACTAGGTTTACGTTGTGGTGGAGGTGTAATAAAACATTTGGCAAACGAATGTTTACGTTATGCGTGGAGTTGGGCCCCTTGCTGTTTTGTCTAATTGTCATTTTTATTGGAAGGCTTAACTAGCACACTTTTACGGAATTGTCATTTCCAAGAATGAAAGATTCTTTATTGTACTCATCCATTTTAGATGTTTTATTTATTGAGATCTTAAATTTTTAGGGATTAAGATCCGTAAGTATATCGATACTCTTTCTAGTTTAGGAGTTTTCTTTAATGAAACAGCTATTATGATATGTTTTTTTAGATACAAAAAAGGGGATTTTTCATGTTTCCTGTAAATCAGGATGGAAAAACCCAGAAACCAGATTGTCGACCATTTATTCTTTATATGTTTGAATAATAAATTTAAATGTTGAAGTTTTGAAGATGTGTAAAAATTGTATTAAAGAATAAATTCAGTTCAAACGATAGTAATATAAAATAAATGATAATTATAAAATATAATAATTTATTCATACAAACATTCATTTACACGGGGAAACATTCTTACATACAAAACAATGAATAAATTAAAAGATAATTAAATATTAATTTAGGGCATTCTAGATCCCTCGTCCTAAGACAAATTTCAAAAAGAAAAGTGTCAGGTTTTGACATTCTGGGACGTCACACAATATATATTTTTACAAATATCTCTTGACTGTGCATTGTTGTGACTCTGCATGCAATATGTCTATAAATCGAGACATAGATACAGAAACCTCATTTTCTTGCGTTTGCGCATTAATTTAGCAGCACATATGATACTTTATGAAATGGCAACACACTCAGCCTTAGTAACCAAACAAAACCCATTGAATCGAGTGAAGCAATAGAAAAAAATAAACTTTTTTTGTTGATACAAAACTTGTTTTTGAAAACTTTGTGAAAACTAATTTATTCCACATGATAATTTAGTATACCATTGATCAGAAGTTATAAAACGTGTTCGGTAACTAGCAAAAGAGAAACAAGAGCACGTGCTTAAAATGTTGCTACTAAATGCAATTTGTAGAGCCTCTAGTATTTGTAGTAATCTCTCCCCCTAGAGATATTCAATGTTGGAGTGAGTAGATTACCTGCAAGTTCATATATCTCCTATACATGTTCGCGACCCTTTCACTTGGCTCAGCTGATCGATCATCAGAAAAGAAGACCGGTAGATAACCCACCGCATAGCGAATCGGAGAGATTCACGTATCTGTTTATCAGCACGAAAGTACTGGTATATATAAGAGAAGAAACGGTATTTATACGCAAATGATTTACGATCCATCCAATATAAGAGAGTATGGCGGTGTGTCGATGTAAATATGTTGAACAACATCTTCACCGCGTAGTATATAGTAAGCTTCCTAGGTCAACGTACCTTCGACCAGAGAGTACCGAGCAGGGCCGCATGCCATTAGGGTGCACTTCCCAAAGTGATCCAAAAATATTGAACTGAAATAATGAGAAAAAACATTTCCCACCTGTAATGTCAACTGCGTAAAAATTGTAGTTGATTACGCATCTAATTATTGATTTTGTTCTTAAGCTTTGGTGAAACGGAATTTTCATTGGTAGGTGAATGTCGATAAAAGCTTATAGTAGTTGCACATAGATACTATTATATTTTATTTTTTCACTAGTCATACTAAAATAGTATCAACAGTAAAGAATACCGGACTTTGGGATTAATGGATTTTGACTGATTATTTAATAATTGGACATATGTTCAATAATATAATTGCAAATAAAGATATAATAAAGAACCAAATCTTCCTAATTATTTTATGTGAAACTTAGATCATATGATAATTAATACACAGATGGTTGATAATAAATTATATATATTAATTAATAAAAATTGACAGCTATTGATAGCATAGGACCACAAAAAAAAGGTTCATTTAACCAAACCAAGTATATTATATGGTTTTAGGGTCGCTGAACACGAATCTTAATTCCGTTTTGCTTCAGTGCTTCAGGATTTATTTTAACCTTAAAAAAAAAAGTGGATTTTTAATAACAGAAATTTTTTTAAATATTAACGGATTTACTTTTATCTTGGTATCCACGGGTTTTTGGGATCACTGATTACGAGTCTGGTGTCAGATTTTCAAAATTCAAAATGGCTAATCCAATATGGCGGATTCAAAATGGCGGTTGCATTTTTTAAAAAAATTATTGGGATTGCTGATTACGAATTTGAAAATAGATTTTATAAATCCAAAATGGCGGATTCAAAATGGCGATCAAATTTTAAAACATTATTGATTATAGTAAAATTTGGTTCCTAGGGGTTTTTGGGATTACTGATTACGAATTTGAAGTCAGATTTGCTAAATCAAAAATGACAGATACAAAATGGCGGTCGAATTTTTAAAAAAATTATAGAATTTTTATAAAACTTAGTATCTAGGGGTTTTTAGGGTCACTGATTATGAATTTGAAGTTAGATTTTATAAATCCAAAATGTCGCATTCAAAATAACTGTTGCATTTTTAAAAATATTATTGAATTTTTATAAAACTTGGTATTTAGGGGTTTTTAGGGTCACTGATTACGAATTTGATATCACATTTTCAAAATCAAAATTGGCGGATCCAAAATGGCGGTCAAATTTTAAAACATTATTGAATATTTGTAAAATTCGATGCCTAGGGGTTTTTGGGGTAACTTATTACGAATGTGAAGTCAGATTTGCTATATCAAAAATGGCAAATACAAAATGGCAGTCGAATTTTTAAAAAACTTATTGAATTTTTATAAAACTTGGTATTTAGAGGTTTTTTGGGGTTACCTAATTACGAATTTGAAGTCAGATTTTCAAAATGTAGAATGGTCAAATTTTTGAAAAATTACTAAATTCCTATAAAATTTGGTATTTAGGGGTTTTTGGGATCACTGTTTATACATTTTAAGTTAGAATTTCTAAATCCAAAATGGCTAATCCAATATGGCGGATTGAAAATGGCGGTTGCATTTTTAAAAAAAATTGTTAGGGTTGCTGATTACGAATTTGAAAATAGATTTTATAAATCCAAAATGGCGGATTCAAAATGGCGATCAAATTTTAAGACATTATTGATTATAGTAAAATTTGGTTCCTAGGGGTTTTTGGGGTCACTGATTACGAATTTGAAGTCAGATTTGCTATATCAAAAATGGCAAATACAAAATGGCAGTCGAATTTTTAAAAAACTTATTGAATTTTTATAAAACTTGGTATTTAGAGGTTTTTTGGGGTTGCCTAATTACGAATTTGAAGTCAGATTTTCTAAATCCAAAATGGCTAATCTAATATGGTGGAAAAAATTGTAAATAATTATTGGATTTTAATTTTAAAAATTGTTTTTACTGCGATATGAAAACAAATTAATTGTTTATTGCAATTATTATTTGTTAATATTTAATAAAAAAAAACAAAAACTATAAAAAAACAATAAATAAATTTTTTTAATTTATTTTAACAAAGTTGCAACAATTATTGAATTAATATTTTAAAGTACAGTTGTTTTTCATTTAGAGTTAAATCATATTTATTTAATTTTGGCGCCCAAGGCGACTGCTCTGACAAAATAAAATTACTATCTAGAATGTATAACGCAATTTAATTATAATGTCGAGTTTATATATATATATATATTTATTCAAATGAAATTATGATTTAAAATATAAAAAAATTATTTTTAGTAATTATAGTAACAGGAGCGTAATAATGTTATGAAATTAGGGTTCTTTTTATTGAAAAATAGTAAATTTTGAAGATTTAAATTTTAAATTACTAAATCTTAAATTATATTATAATATTACAATTGCTTTTGTCAATTTCGATGTATATTGTTGACTTGTACGAGAAATGCGCGTGCGTATTAAATTTCTTACGAGCACGTGTTAAGTATTTATTAAGTGATTGTTTTGATATGCAGTAAATATAAAATGAGAGTGAAATGATAAGATTGAGAATTGAAATAAATTATATTATTTTCGTACAATTGGCTTTAACATATTAAATCCCTTGTTGTAAAATAATATTTTGATTGAAGTTGATACAAATTTTTTAATTATTACAATAATATATTATACCTGGTGATTAAAAGATAAATTTTATTTTTGTGACATGTTTAAAAATCTATTGTGTTCTGTGTTATCAAGACTCAATTAATACTTGAAAAAAGAAATGATATTATCGCATTTTGATTGAAATTCCATTTCCGTATATGGATGTTAAGGTAAATAATAAAAAACGATTTAATTATCAATAATAACATAAGATTTCGAACAGAAAACCTTGTTTGAATTCTCTGTTTATTTAGTTATTTCTTTGTTTTGTTAGTTTTAAATATTTTAAATTATTTTATTGTTTATAAAGTAAATATTTTATTGGAGTGAAAAAAATTTTTTTTTTTGTAAATTTAATTTTTTATTTTTTTTTCAACAATTTTTAATACTTGTATGGTTTTAACAATTTTGGTATTAATAATTTGTAAATATTTTAGTGGATATCATTTAGATTTTTCTTAATTTTAGGTTAGTAAACGAACTTTTTATTTTATCTATAAATTATTATTAAAAATCATCAATCTTTTAATTAATTAAAACGTATATTTTTTTTATTTTATTAATTACGTTTTTTCAATTAATTTTTTTCGTAATTTGAAATTAAATTTTGATTGTATCCAGTTTTTTTTTGACACTTTCAAATTGTTCTTTAACCTTTTCTTCTTTTGATAACAAAAAATAAAAAACAATGTTTATCAATAAATAAAAATATGTTTATCAAATAAATACCTACTTTATTTATAATTAAAATTACTACACTTTAAACAATTGTTCCTCTACTTTTTTTTTAGAAACTAATAACATTTTTTTACTTTAAAAAAATTAAAAAATATTTAGTCTTTATTAAAATCGAATTTTTGAAAATTAAACAAATTTTTATAATATTTTTTATTTCTAAAACCATTGTCCATTGGAGTGGACATATTTTAAGTATATATACACACAATTGGATTTATTTCACTACATTGACAAAATCACTATAACACTAATAACTTATTTTCTTCATTAAAAAAAAAAAAAAACATTTTTCTTTTGGTTTTACATTGAAAAAAATTACTTTGTCAAAAAGAAAACAAAGGAACTAAAACAATAATTGTTTCAGTGTTAAATAGTGAGAGCGAGGATATTGAACCAAGATGTTTAAAGGGTTTGAAGATGACGCAGGCGCAAAATTGCAAAACTTCAATTCTAGTCAGAAGGTGCGCAATTTTGTGCGGGTCTTTATACAACGTTGGAGGGCGTTTTATGCGGGGGATGCTGCAAATCATTTGAGTATAACACCACCTGTGATGGGTAACCTGCAGAGTGATGGCAAGAAAAAACAACGAAAATCAAAAGACTCAAGTGCCATCCTCGATGATCCAGGAACTCCCATCCAGTCATCAAATGTTAAAATATCTCTTGACAAAGCACGAACACCTGTCAAGAGACCTGCACCAAAACCTCCACCTATTGTCAAGGTTAGTTTTGCGAAAATTCCAAAATTTTTTCTATTTTTGCAACATTTTTATTATTTTTACCTTTTTTTTTTATTAATTTTTATTATATTATATTATATTATATTATATTATTAATAATTACAATTATAATATAATAATTGTGAAATATTTTTCAGAAATAAGATATTTGAATATTTTCGAAAAAATTAAAAAAATATCTCTAAATATTTCAAATTATTTTAATCATTCAGTTTTAGGAAAATTGGGAAATGGAATTTTGTTTTTTTTTTCACCCAAAAGTCTTCGAACCATATCTCATTCGCTTTCTACACTTTCATTTAAAATGAAATATATATACATAACAGTTTATCAAATAACTCATTATAGCTCGTTGGAATACCGTTAAAAAAATTTGATTGTATAAAGTAAGAGAAATTTATGTAAAAAAATACTGTTATAAAAATTTAATAAATTTTTTTTTTTTAATTAAATTTTTTTTTAAGGTAAAAACTTCGTTTTGAGTCAAATGGTATATATTCATTGCGCAATATTACCGAACAATTTCTATTATCTTTATGAAGCTATACACCATTAATGTTATCATATTTGCTTTGAAGGAATAAACTTTTTTTTTTTAATATATTACAGTATCACTTTTTTATGTAACAGTTATCTTATTACTTTATTACCATCTCTGCAACTCTTAATTTTATTGCAAAATTACTCAAAGTTTACTTTGATGTTGTATAAAAATGCTTGTTGAATAAAAATTTACGTTATATTACATAACCTCAAAATTAAATTAATGACTGTAATATTACAAGTAATTTAATTAATTTTACATTCCAAGATAGCACGTAAGCTTGCAGCAATCAACCTTTCGGCAAGCTTGCCGCGCAATATTGCTAACCTTGCACGGCAATCTTGCCGCAAGCTTCAAATGTCCCACCTGATCCAAGCTTGAATGGTAAGCTTACCATTCATGATTATCGCTCAGTAAGCTTGCACGGTAAGCTTGTAGCACGATTGGTGCAAGGTTGCCAAATAACTTTTCTTTAAACCTAAAAAAATTTTTTTTTTTAAATGTTTCGTTTAATTAGTATAATAAAATTATATAAATTAGACGAAACATTAAAAAAAATTTTTTATGTTAAAAGTAAGGCAACCTTGCATCAACCTTACTGTAACCTTACCGTGCAAGCTTACTGAGCAATATTGAGATAATCTTAATGTGCAATCTTGCAGTAGCCTTACACTGCAATCTTGCAGTAACCTAACACTGCAATCTTTCGATAAGCTTATCATGCAAACTTCGGTCAAGTGGGACATTTGAAGCTTGCGGCAAGTTTGCCGTGCAAGGTTGGCAATATTGCGCAACAAGCTTGCCGAAAGGTTGCTGCAATCTTACGTACTATCTGAGTTGTTGTTTAATTCATTTTTCTTAGCATTTATTATATTATATTTATTTATTCATACTCATTATATTACTTTTATATATAAAATATATTAGGTTTTAGCAAAAATTTTAATTTTTACATAAATTTAATCATTGTAAGCGATAAATGTTTAGGACGTAATATCATTTAAGTGACCGTCCCTGATAATAGTTTTATTTTATAATAACATTGAAAGGAAATGACATAATTATTTTCAGATAAATTTGCTTTCATTATAATTAGAAACGATGATAACTTCACAATAGTTATCGATATTGAACGTAAGTCAAGCATTGAATGAGGTTATCGCGCATAATTAAATGCAACAAATAATCAAACAGAATTTTTATTTCAAAAAAAAAAAAATTTTTTGTATCATATAATTTACACCACTCAACATAGTACTTGAATATTTGTTTATTTTAACTCATGAAAAAGATAAAATTATTATTATTTTGTTTTAATTAATCAAATCTAATAATTTTTATTGATTTTTTTATTGTTTTAAAAAAAGTAAGTAAAACAATATAAAACATAATATGTGATGCTCTACCCGAGAAGGGACGTTAAAAAAATTTTAGGTTATGTTTGTAATTTTTGAAATGAAAATACAGTTCTTGATACAAAACATTTATGTTTAAGTCTATTCATTATACATTCAAAAAATTCAATAAAAACTCATTTTTATTTTACCTCATTAAAAAGAAACTTTTTATCAAAGTAAAACTATCATTGAACATAACCTAAAATGTTTTTGACGTAAAGTCCCTTCTCTCGTGAGAACTTATTTTTACAGAATTTTAAAAATTAATGAGGCACATATTTCAATTTGTGGAGAAAATATGTGAAGAAATACGTCGAGTTATTTACAAAAAAAAAAAAATTTTTTTTTAAATAAAATTATTATTAATTTTCTACAGCCACAAAGAGACAGAGATGAGGAGGAAGAATTGGAGAAGAAGAAAAAGATCAAGGAGAATGTACAGAAAGATGAAGAGGAACAAAAACAACAACGGGAGGAAGTTAGAAAATCAGTTTCAGTATATGTGGATATTAAGTCCCAACGACCATCCGATCCTGCTGCTGTCTCCCCACCCACTAGTGAGAACGTGGAGGGCAAGGAGAGGAACATCATTTGCTCACACACTTCGGATGATCCGATCGCAACGGACCTACTACTCACGAATGTGCCACCACTCGGGGTTTTACCGGTAGATACCGAGGGTCCACCGCTACTCGTGACCGACTCATGGCGTCGTGTTAACAAGAGTGTAACCACCCCGGAAATCCCAACACCGCCAAGTCAACAATCATCGAGCGACAGCGTCTTCACTGATCCCGAGGAAGTCGCAATGGTCGCTGAAAATGAGAAAATTGAAAAATCATCCCTCATCTATCCATCTAATGACACTGGAAAGGACAATAATTTACAAACTAGTGAGGAATTTAAATCTCCCTTCACTGTATCACGTCATAGGAAAGTTGAAGTGACACCGGTTTCACATAAAATCGGTGAGCTTTTATTTTAATTTATTTATATTCCAAAATACAGATACAATGAATTAATTACAAAATTAGTTTTTATAATTCCCTTTTTTGGGCACAAAATTTTTCATATTAGTTTATTTTTCTTTTAAAAATTAAATTTGAAAAAATTATTCAAGAAAAAAAAATTATATTTTCTTAATCCCGGGGGTAACTTTGTTTAATGTCGTCCCTGTATCTGAGTTGAGAACACTGCGCGCGCATCACGTGGAAAGTGGGGATAGCGTACATACACCAATCACAAAATGGTACTCCCCACAACAAATAGTTCGCTACTGGAAGTACCATTTTGTGATTGGTGTATGTACACTATCCCCACTTTCCACGTGATGCGCGCGCAGTGTTCTCAACTCAGATACAAGGACGACATTAAACAAAATTACCCCCGGGATTAAGAAAATATAAATTTTTTTCTTCTCGAAGCAATAATAATTTTTTTTCCATCTAGAAAGTTAATCTTCTAAATTGAAAATAAATTTAAAATATTTTTAATAAAATGTGAAAAAAATGAAATAACGAATTAAATGAAAGGAAACAATACAATAAAACTTTTTTCCAAAGTGTAGGTATTTTTTTTAAATTCCCCATATATAGTAAACAGAATTCCCTAATCCAACAAAGCGAAACGACATGAAAAAAAAAATATATCATTTGAGAGAGAATTAAATACAGGATATAACAATAAGCACTCATCGCATGAATGCCGACATACAATGATATATTTTTAAGGTGTGACACGACATTGATTCCCCCCCCCCCCTCCTCTCTCTCCCTTCATCATATAATTTTAGAAGACAGGTAATAATTTAGATTTTGAACAGTGTATATATAAACATACACTTTGCTTTAATATTATGCAGTCAACGAAAAATATCTCTAGTTTAACGAACTCATATATATACATTACATTTATTAGTAATATTTTTATGTTTGTATTTTATAATTATTGTGTTAAATTTTTGTTTTGTTTTCAATTTTATTAATAATGTGATCATTTTTTTTTTGGGATATCATCGAAATTTTTTTAAAAAGTAATGTATATCGAGGTAATTATTTTTATTATATATTCATATTTAATTAAATTTAAAGGTATAAAAAGTTTAATTTAAATTAAAGAAAATTTTGTAATATTATTTTGAATAATAATTCAATAATTAAATAAGGATCGTTCCGGTTTGAAGTTATTTGACGCTTAAGTTGAGAACAGTGCGCGCGCTGCAAACGAAGAGTGGGGGTAACGCTCAGCGATTAGTACTCGCTCGTTATCCCCACTCTTTGTTTGCTGCGCGCTCACTGTTCTCAACTTAGGTGCCGGGAATATTTATTAATATTTATTTAATATTTATTAATTAACATAAAATATTAATTTTATTATTATTTATTTTATTATTATTATTTATTCAATGTTAAAGTATATTAATAGTAAATAATATCAATTATTCATATTAATGTAAAAGATTGTTATTTTCCTAATTTAGTAATTTTCAAAAATGTAAAAGTAGTTTTCTTTTTTTTTTAAATTTCAAATTTCTATGGGTTGATTGGTATTGTACATGCACAATAATATTGTAAATGGAAAAAAAGTATACGTTCGAGTGAATAAGCACAGAAAAAAGTTGGGAATAGCCGTAATTTCCGCAGAGATTTAATTAGCAGCATTAAATTACACGTTATGAAGCTAGCACTTGAAGTTAACAATCTGTTAACTTTAGAGCTTATGTAATGACGATATATAATGCACATCATGAAACTATAACTTGTAGAGAATTCACTTGCTTACAATTTGAAAGTACATAATAAGACGCACTCCCTTTAATTTACCACTTTTCTATGTTATTTTTTTTTTGAAACAAGTTTCGCTTAGCTAACTGAAAATACATAATATTATACAATGTAAAATAGTTTTTCAAAAAAAAAAAAAAAATTGTTTAACATTTAATTTCTTTAATTACATTTATTTATTTTTATAAATGTTAATGTTATTTTTTCTTTTTTGATTTTTTATTGAATCATTTTTTTCATGTTTTCTTTAATTTTGATTTTTTAATTTAATTTTTTTAAAATACACATTTGAAATTTAATTTTAATAAAGTGTAATTAATATTTGTCATTAAAAAATAAATAGGTAAAACTAAACAAATTTGATAGTATGAAGTAGTAAAGGAATTTAATTAACAAGTTGAGAACACTGCGCGCGCAACATGGAAATAGTGGGGATAAGGCAGACTTACTAATCAGGAAGCGCTATCCCCACTCTTTTCATGCAGCGCGCGCATGGTTCTCAACTTATAAACATAAAAATCTCAGAAGTTTAAAAAAAGCACTAATCTAATCTATTCAAATAAAAAAAGTTTTTTTTTTTAAATATTTAGTTAAACAATTAAATATTTAATTTTACTATATTAAAAATAATTTCCAATATTAAAAATAATATTTAAACATTAAAAAATTAAATATTGAAATGGCGTTATTAAAACGTGATAAAGATAAAATTTTAACCCCTTCCACTAACTGTAGCTATTTTCATTTTTTTAAACTTTTCGATAATTTCAAAAGTGAAATTTTAAATGTGTCTCTTATATTATATCCAATAGCAAAATAAATAACTATCTCTCGCTCTTTGAATCAGATAAAAATAAAGCATGAGAAAGAGCTTAATTAGTTTCTGTGGGATAGATTATTTTTAAAGTCTCGTTTGACACCTCGAATAAAAGGCTATACATAATAGAGCCACAGTATTCGATTCGATTGGCGTGTTCTTTAGCCGCTGGAAACTAATGAGATCTAATGTCATCTCATACCAGGCGCTTCTATTTGTTCGGGACACAACGGTCGTGACTTGCTGATGATGATGATGATGATGATGATGATTCTAAACCGTTGTTTGCCAATATAACAGTTACTTGAACAAATGCTGTCGTAATATAACGAAAATGGCAACGCCTCTGTTTTGTGAAGATCAAAGAGTACTATATATATATTCCATTATGAACTTTAGAGTAATAATAAGATAACGACATTTCATTTAGTTGATATCTGCAATTTAGATACTATAAATTTTATACTCTTTAAATATGTTTATAAACCGATAGTTAACGTTTAAACTATGATAGACATGATAGACTTCTTCTAATCTACTTTGACCTTCATTGTACCTACTTTGACCAAAATTAAATCTACTTTGGCCTATATTTAACCTACTTTGATTCTACATTGATATTATTTTGAACTAACATTGGAACAATATTAAACCTACATTGAATCTATTTCAAACATATATTACACTTACAATTAGATTGAATCTACTTTGAACCTTTAAGTAAAATTTACTTTAAACTTACATTAGACTTATCTTGACCTTGAACCATTACTGAATCGATGATAAATCTTCTTTAATTCTATATTAGATCTATCCTTTAAATTACTTTAAATCTACTTTAACACCATATTAGACCTACATTTAACCTACGATTGACCTACATTGAACCTACTTTGACCCTTTATTAAAATTATTTTTAATTTAAAAATAATATTGGAACAATATTAAACCTACATTGTATCTGTATTAAATTTACTTTAACCCTTTATTAGACCTAAATTGAATCTGTATTAAATCTACTTTAATCCTACATTAAATCTGTATTTGACCTACTTTTAATCTATTATAACCTACATTAAACCTACTTTGACCCTACATTGTAATTACTTTCAAAAAACATTAGAACAAATAAAAGCTACATTGAATCTATATTAAATCTAATCCAACCCAATATTAAATCTTCTTTGAACCTTCTTTAAACCTTCATTTGACCTAAATTGAACCTACTTTGACTCTATTTGAAATTACTTTAAAATAATTTGGAACAGACTTGAACCTACACTGTATATATAACTTGCATTGAACCTACATTAACCCTACCTGGAAATTACTTTGAAATATCATTGGAACAGTAAAAAACCTACATTTGACCTAGTTTGACCCTACATTGACCATTCTTTAACTCTACATTGAAATTATTTTAAAATAATTTGGCACATTCTTGAACCTACATTGTATCTATATTATGTCTGCTATAATTCTATATTAGACCTGTATTTAACCTACTTTGACTCTATGTATAACCTGCATTGAACCTACATAAACCCTACCTGGAAATTACTTTGAAATATCATTGGAACAGTGGTAAACCTACATTTAATCTACATTAAATCTACTTGAACCAAAATTATATCTTCTTTAAACCTTCTTTGAACCTACTTTGACCCTTCTTTGACACTACATTGAAATTACTTTAAAATTTTTCGACACATTATTGAACCTACATTGTATCTATATTAAATCTACTTTAATTCTATATTAGACCTGTATTTAACCTACTTTGACTCTATGTATAATCTGCATTGAACCTACATTAACCCTACCTGGCAATTACTTTGAAATATCATTGGAACAGTAATAAACCTACATTTAATCTATATTAAATCTACTTTAACCAAAATTATATCTTCTTTAAACCTTCTTTGAACCTACATTTGACCTACTTTCACCCTAGATTGACCATTCTTTAACTCTACATTGAAATTATTTCAAAATAATTTGGCACATTATTATTGAACCTACATTGTATCTATATTAAAGCTGCTTTAATTCTATATTACACCTGTATATGACGTACTTTGAATCTATGTATAACCTGCATTGAACCTACATTGATCCTACCTGGAAGTTACTTTGCAATAACATTGGAAAAGTATTAAATCTTCATTGAATCTATATTAAATCTACTTTAACCTGATACTCGACCTGATATTAGATCTTCTTTGAACCTTCTTTGAACCTACATTTGACCTACTTTGACCCTACTTTGACCCTACTTTGTAATTACTTTAAAATTATTCAACACATTATTGAAACTACATTGTATTTGTATTAAATCTGTATTAATTCTATATTGGTCCTGTATTAGTCCTACTTTGAATCTGTATATAACCTTCATTGAACCTACTTTAACGCTACATGGGAAATACTTCGAAATAACATATTGCAACAATGATAAACCTACTTTAATACTATATTGGACCTACTTTGCACCTGTATTAAACCTAAATTTGTCCTTCTTTGAATCTACATTAAACCTACGTTCACCTACATTGTACCAATATTGGACCTATATTCATTCTACTTTGAATCTTTATTAAGTCTATATTGAAACTATACATTAAATCTATAGAGATAAAAATTTATCAATCAATTCATGTTTTCTTTAAAAAAAATTCTGTAATAAATTGCATTTTTATTTTGCTTAAATTAAAATGTTTAAAAGTAAAAAAAAATTTTTTAAATATTATTTATAAATATTTAGACAAAATTATCTAATACCGATAAAATGATCTTAATATTCAAATTATAGAACGTACACTAAAGTTATACAGAATGTCTTTGACCTTCACATTGATTTTGAAATACTCATGATTATTACATAGTTCGTTGAGCTAGGTTTACTGTAGATTGAAAGTGGAAAACACAATCTCTTCGTGTCGTATATATATATATATGTATATATAATTACCGGAAGAACAATTTTTGGAAGAGGTTTTTTTCTCTTTTTTTTAATGCGACAGTAAATATCAAAACGGTACTTAAATTATATTTTTATGGGAAAGAATTCAAAGATTATGAGATTACGATTCCAGCCAAGCATACAATAAATAATAATTTCCATTGAAATAAAGTTGAAATAAATTAATTGATAAAAATAAATAATAATTTTAAAAAGAATTCAATTATTATATTTTTATATTTTGTTTTAAAAAAATTCAATGTTTTCTTCAAATTAATTATTTTACAATTTGAATATTTTATAGAACAATTTATTATAATTTTAATTATTTTTATAATATTTCTTTTGTTATTAATATTTTTTTATATTAAATAAAATGTTTTCATATTTAAATAATAAATTAACAAAAATTAAAATATTGAGAAAAATGTTTGAAAATTGTTAATATTAAAAAACAATTGAATTGTATAATTGCATTTTTCATGAAATTCCAACGGGTTGAAAAAAAAAATATATGAATAGAATAAATTTCTGGATATACAATAAAACCGGAAAAGAAAACGCCCTTCCGGTGTTGGGTGTTAAATAGTGACTCATATTTTTTTTTTTCAATTGACAATCTATTGTTGTCTGCATATCGAAATGCAATTTTTTCTATCTATGTGACTCATCGAAACCTTTTGCAGAAATGTTAATTAAAGAAAGTAGGGCCAAAGGAGAGAGGGAAGGGGATAAAATTTAATTTATATTTTACTATAAGTATCGTATTTTTTTGTAATTTTGTTTTTTGTTTGAAAATTTACTCATTGACTTATTATATCTTTGCAGGGAATCTGTATTCAAACTCGGGCAAATCATGTCGAAGGCACAGTATTAACGATGACGGAACAGTTCTCAAGAGAGTGGCCAGTCTCACTTTAGACAGAGTCACCCTTGATACAAGAAGCAGTAGAAAGATAAACTTAACCCCACAAAAATTAGAGACACATCGATTTGAAAAATTTGAAGGTCAGTGTTTTTATTTTTTTAAAAAAGAATTTTATTAATTTTATTAACATTCAATATATATAAATTGGTTTTATTGGTGATTTTTTAAAATTAATTTAATTATACAATTAACATTATTTTCTCTCTAAATTTGTATAAGTGAGATTTCACTAATGAAATAGCTGGAATTTAGCAACTGAAATTCAGTTACATTTCACTGAAAATCAGTCGTATTATTACTGAGGTAAACAAAGAAAACTATATTATCAATTATCGGTAAAACAGATTTGGCTGTTTCAATCAATAAAGAATTCTACTAAATTTCAGTGAAATATAACTGAGTTTCATTAATCAAATCTACATTATCAATTATCGGTAAAACAGATTTGTCAAAAAAATTGAATCGATTATAAAAAAAATTTTAATTCTATATCACAGATGAACGAATTAATGCAATAAAAATATTTTGATGGTATTTAAAAATATATCTGATTAGTATTAACATGGAATTTTAAGATGGAAATATTTGTAAATTATAAATTATTGACATATACAATCGCAAAGGATTTGTGTTAAACTGCGTCACGTAATCCAAGAGAATAGTCGCATACCTAAACGAATAAGATGCTTCAGTTACTCTAAAGTAGCCGATGATAGCATTTGTTATATACCGAGTTTTAATGAAGGTACAAATACTTTGTAATTTTTAACAAAAATTTTTAATTTTATTCAACAATTTTTTGTTTTTAATTTTAAAAAAATGAAATAAACAATTTTTCAATTTTTTTAGTTGTTAATTTCCCTTTTTTTGGGAAATTTAATAATAAACGATTTTAACGACAAATTTTAAAAAAATAGTTAAAATTGAAGAAAAGTGTTTTTTATTTAAGTGTATTTTAAAGAATTGTTATTTTTTTTTTTTTAAATATGACCGTTATTTGACTAACCGGAAGTGTATATGGTGAGGTCTATAGAATAATAAATAATTACGTAGAAAAATAAAATAATTGTTCTTCATGAACAAATAAAACTTATTACTACAAAAAAAAAATTCACTTGAAGCAGATTTAGGAAATTTAAAATTAAATAGCAAAATTTTTAAAGGTTAAGAATCTTAAATTTAAGTACCAACCTAGAAACAGAAAAAGCTAGTTAATGGCGCCAAATTTTAAATTTAAAAATTTTAAAAATACTCGAAATAAATAATAAATTAATACCTAATAATTGGACTAAACAATTAAATCACCAAAATAGTTAATTATCTAAAAATAATATTGTATATTTAAAAATAAAAAATATAATTTAAAAAAATTTAATTTTTTGTTAAAATTAAAATACATACCCACTTTTTTTTAAACTGAAAGTTAATTATGAAGGACTTCGTTTGTAAATGGCAAAGAGTAGATAGTTTCCTTCAATTTTTTTTTATTTAACAACTGCGATCATCAGGCGACCAATAAAAATACCGTAATCTCGTCAATGATGGAATAAAATAATAAAAAAAAAACATCTCACAACAAAAAGAAATTGAACGTTTATGGGAGAATTTTTAAATTAAAATTCCAAAAATGATGTCAGAATTATAATATATATATATATATATATATATCCATTTTCCACTTATATTCTGATATCATAAATCGATCATTGATAAGTGACCTGATATTAAAGATTCTTATCGTTCAAGTGTCGGCATTTATAATGTTTCGGAAGTAAAGAAATTAATTATCGCAAAAATAAAAATCATTTTCATTTGTAATCAATTTTTTTTAAAAAAATATAAAAAATTATAATAATAATTAAAATATTAATATTTTTCTATTCTATTGAAATATTTTAATACATATAAAAAATTTTGATATAAAAGATTAAATTTTAAATAGTGTGTTTTTGTAAAAATAAAAAGTGTTGAAATTTAAAAAAAAAATTTAGATAATAGAGTGTAGAAAAAAATTTTATTAAAAGAAGAAACTTGGTTAAAAATAACTGTGATAAAATACCTTCTGTGTTCAATTGGTTTAAATTTTCGACTCAACATAGCAGTCTTAATTAACTCACTAATCATTTTTTTTTTTTTTACAATTTCCGTCTCCTCAGAATGTGTAACCTTGTAAATGACTCAGCATGATTTTTTTGCCAAAAGTATTAAACAAACATTAATCGCAAAGATATAATCGACATTGTTAAGTGTCAAGTTTAAATTTTATCGATGTGTCGCATTAAATTGAAAAATTGTGTTTCAAAATAGTTTCATTGTGATTAACCAATATTTATAATAAAATGTGTAAAAAATTAAAAATTTTATTTAATTATAAAATACAATTTTTTTTTGTTATTAATTTTAACAACCGATTTTTCAATCATTTTGATAATAAAAATTATTAATTATTTTAATATTATGATAATTATTAATTATTATTATTATTTATTATTGTAACTTAAAATTTTATTCCTAATGAAAATAGAAAAAAAAATTATATTTTTTTAAAACCCTTTTAAATAAAAATTATTATTTACTGAAAATTATTAATTTTGAATTAATTTATTAAAAGAAATTGTTTTATAGATGCAGATGTACTATAATGATTATAATTTTCAAATAGATAAAATAATATCCCTCAGGAAGAATAATTCGATAAAATTTCTATCTGCTTTTGAAGGATATTATCACTCTTTTAAATAATTTACATAAAACAGATCCTACTACGTATAATAATTTTATAAATGATAAAAATTTATAATGAAAACTATCCAGTTAAGTTTCATACCTCAACGAATAATACTCGTTATTCTTAAAACAAAAGTTTGAAAATAATGCCATAAACTATTTAAATCTCATTTTAGTATTAAACTAGTTTCAATTATTTTTATTTGTCTTAGTTATGTAAGATAGTAATTGTAAATTATTGACAAAGACTATAACGAGAGTTATTAAAAAAAAAATCCATTATGTAACCGTTATTGTTATTTTCATTGTTATTGCACATATATTATGTATTATTTTCTAAATTATTTAATATTATTGTTTGTTATAAGTGTGTCGAGGTAACGTGATGAAAATTTTTTTTGTGATACTGATACAAAATTTGTGCTACTAAATACTTTTTTTTAATACTTCAATACGCTTAGCGTAAGTAATTACATTTAGATAAAATAAGAGGCGGAGCCAAAAGAGAGTGGGGAGATGAGAGAGAAAAGGAGCGACGTTCAGTGTCTCTCTTACTCTCATCTCCCCACTCCATGACTTTGGGTTCCGTTCAGGATCGCCTCTAAACGAAATGGCACCCAGGGCAAATAAAAGATTAGCCTTCTTTTATAATTACTTAAAATAATTTTTTTTTCCATTTTTTCTTAGGGACTATTTAATACAATTACAAAAAATTTGACTCGAGAAAAATTTTTTTAAAAAAAAGAACAATTTGCAACTCAATTTCTTTTTTCTGGAACTAATTCAAAAACTGATTAAAAAAAAAATACTACCTGATACTAAATTTTAAATATAAATGCAAAAAAAAAATTTGACGCAATTAATTTTTTTTTTAAATTTCTGAGTGGGAAGAATATGCTACATTATATTAAACTGGCATTTATGATACTGAAACATCAAAATTGGAACTTGAACCATATTCAAATGAGTCCTTTTTAAAGTTGTACATTGGGATGAGTTGCAAATTAAATGCGAGACAAAGACGGAAAGCGAAGGACAATATTTTTGTTAGCAAAACGAAAGAGAATTGGGATTTGGAGAGGCAGGTGGTTCACGAATAGTAAATGCGCGTGAATAATAATAAATTTTCTAGCCATGTCCTCGAGGGCGGGAGCCGGTCTGGGTGCGGTATTTTAAAGTCTTCTTTTCAAGATCGTCTCAAAACAAATCATCCTCTCTGCAAACATACATTCAATCTTCCATTCTTAAAATAATCAACATCTTTCATTATTTTCTATAATAAAAAAAAGAAAAAAAAAAATTCAAGTATTTTATGTTTGAATTTAAATTCCATAAAGTTTGTGTCGGTTATCATTTTTATACACAGCCAGGTATGAATATAAATAATAAATTAATAAAATAATAAAAAAATATCAATAAAAGTAAAGAAAATAAAAAATTAATCTTTATAACAGATAAATAAATGAAATTTCCTTTCACTTTTTTGTCGAATAAATATTAATTTTGAGAGAAAATCTGTGTTTAAATTAAATTAAGAATCATGGAGATTTCACTTTAATGACAATGGCAATTATTTTTTTTTCTTTAAAAAAAAATTTTTTTTCCGGAATGATGTGACTTATCTGTTAAATTTCGTAATTCAAAATTGCATTTGTCCTCCTACCTTTAATTGTTTCGGAATAAGTAAATAGATAGACGCCCACGTTCTTAATAATAACCGTGTAGAGAATACCGAGTGTCATATCGTAGTAAAACATCTACTTATCATGATGCTCTCTGTAAATCGAAGTCGTAGTTTGAGAAATTATAGTTGCTTTTATAATTTTGTTGAATTATATGTTACAGGACGTTACGTCGTTAAGTGGATTACGGCAGGTGTGTTAAAACATCTAAATAAAACAACCCAAATGTCGGAAGCGGAATTAAAGAAAATTTGCTCCGCTTTTTGTGTGCATCTGGTGTCGGCAGGTATTTTGAAACCTGCCCTCTCCAATGAAGAAAACTCAACATTCACGGTATAATTTAATTTCTAAATATTTTTTCGATATTATTGCTTTAAAATTTTTTTTGGAAAATTGATAATTTAATTAATTCCAATTTGATGTCTACATATTAATTAAATGAATTTATTTTCATTTAAATAGAAATAAATTACAAATTTATAATTGTTCAATTGTTAAATGAAGGGATAATTAACAATTTATTTATTTTTATCTATTGTAATTTTTAGCCAGATGATATATACTACTGGGCCACACAGGAGCCGGTAGCTTTTATTCCGGGTAAATTGAGCCAGGAATCCACACCTTCAGATAATGTACAATGTCTTCAAGAGGAAGTGGAAAATTTACAAAAGGAAGTAGAACGACTTCGTCATTTAGAAAGGATAATTCAGGAAAAACAACGTTCAACAATGCACGATACAAATGAAATATCCCTTTCATTAAGGCATCATGCAGGAGATCCATCATCAACTCATTCAATAGGAGAAATTGAAATTTCCTCTCCAACTGCTTTATCTGGAATTGGAAGTCCATTGCCTTTACATTCAGTTCCCGAAGTGGAGAGCTCGCCACCTCCTTCCAGTATATCTGGAAATGAAGACAATACACCTCCATCCAGAGTGTCTGAAATAAGAGTTAATCTTTCCATGTCTAGAACTGAGGAAACTCCTCGTTCATCCCGAGTTTGTGAAATTGAAACTCCACCACCTACTGCTATGCCGAGAAAAAAATTAGCTGTTTCACCGACGTATGGAATAAGAACACCACCTCCTCCTCCTCCTCCTATGCCTGACATAATAGGAGAATCTCCTCTTCCTTCATTTGGAAGTCCACCACCTCCTCCGCCTCCAATGCCGGAATTAGGAGGCCCACCACCTCCTCCTCCCCCTATGCCTGGGATGGCAGAAGTATCTGGTCTTCTTATAACACCAGTTCCACCACCTCCTCCGCCTCCAATGTCTGGAATGGGAGGCCCACCACCTCAACCTCCGATGCCTGGAGTAGGAGGTCCACCACCTCCTCCTCCTATGCCTGGAATAACAGGAGCACCTCCTCCGCCACCGATGCCTGGAATGGGATGCCCACCGCCACCACCTCCGCTGATGCCTGGAATAGGAATCCCACCACCTCCTCCTCCACCTGGAATCGGAGGTGCTCCACCTCCTCCTCCTCCAATGTTTGGAGTTGGAGGTTCACCAGTTCCACCGCCGCCAATGTCGGGATTGGGAGGTCCACCGCCTCCTCCACCATTCGGTAGTCCAGCGCCTTTTCCAACACCTCCAGTTGGAGGATGGAACCCTCCAAATAAGCCAGGTACGATATTTTTTATTAGGGATTTAGACTGTATGATAATTTTATTTAGAGAAATTTAGTGGAACAGGAACAAATAATACAATTAGACATTAATTTTATTAGGTTTAGTCCATAAGCCTAAGTTTTGCATTTTTATTTAAAAACGGTTTTATACCAATTCTAGGCTCTCTATTTGATTGTCTTTCGTAGATTACAACGACTGGTTCATTAGTGATTTTATTTTTAATGCAGTCGTATCGGAAATCATTGTAAAATTTTATTACTTAATTATGTTTTTTGTACATTACTTTCTTTAAACCATAATTCTAATTCCATTACTTGCATTTGAGCTTTGTTTTAATTTACAGGCCGTTGTGATTTTAGTTACAATCCTATGTCACGCCAAATGTTCATCAAATATCGTTTTTTTTTATTTTCTATTGCGGCTTGCCTTCCCTAACAGCAACGGACATTTCAGAATATCGTGTGGACATACTATCCGTATCTGGAAATTTGGATATCTGTAGGACGTCCTCAGGATATCTATGGATATCCCTGAGACATTCTCAGGATATCCTACTTTCCAGTCATCCCTAGGACATCCGTAGGATATCTTGAATATCCGGATGCTGTTAACGGTTTTAATACGGTTTGTTTATTCTAACTGTATTGCGTATTTTAATTCGTGACAAATTTTTCTATATTTATTGTTAAAAGTTTAAATGTCTTTTGTAGGATTTTGTTTGCAATTTTGTAATTTATAACGATTGACGATTTTATGATTAAAAATTTATTCTAATTTTGCTGAAAAACAAAATAAATAATTAACTTTGTGTTGAATAGAAAATTAATTTTAATTTTCTATATTCATTTTTAAAGTTATGAGGAAGGAATTATTAAATCCGGATATTCCAATGAAGCCTCTCTACTGGACAAGAATTCTCGTTCAAAATCAAAAAGTACCAGTCGATAGTCCAGAATCTCCTGAGGTACACATATCCTACAAATTAATTGTTAATTCAACTATATTTTTTTTCTCTCAAACTTATGCGATAGTTTCTTTGTTCACTTTGTAGACTCCACTATGGGTAAATCTTGAGGAAGATAAAAATTTAAATATCAAAGAGTTTGCCGAATTATTTTCACGACAAGTCACTGAAAGGAAACCAACAATGAAAAAAGACGATACTAATAAGCAATCAAAAATACAACCTGCTAAAATTTTAGATTCCAAACGATCAAAAATGGTTGGAATATTGGAGAAAAGTCTTCATGTTGATTTCAGCGAGGTGGAAAATGCAGTTTATAATTTAGATACAAGTGTCGTGAATCTTGAAGCACTTTATCAAATTTATGAAGTGGTAAGCGATAAAGAAAATATTTATAAAAATTATTATTTCACTGTTGTTAAAAAATAATTTAAATTTTTCAGCGACCAACACCAAAAGAATTGGAAGAAATTTCAATGCATGAAGTTGAACATCCTGATATTCCATTGGATTCACCGGAAATTTTTCTCAAACGTCTATCTGGAATTCAACATTTTGCTGAAAGAATAGCGTGTCTAATGTTTCAAATTGAATTTCAAGATGCAATATCGACGGTATCGTCAAAATTAACAAATTTACGTTCACTATGTGAATATATGAAAAATTCAAGTTCATTAAAAAAAGTCATGGCACTAATTCTTACACTTGGAAATTATATGAATGGTGGCAATAGAATGAGAGGTCAAGCCGATGGTTTTGGTCTTGAGATTCTTGGCAAATTAAAAGACGTCAAGTCTAAAGTACCTGGTGTGACCCTGTTACATTATGTCGTCAAAATGAAATTAACACTTGAAGGAGATTACACTTTTGATGAACCGTTACCGTTACCGGTTCCCGAGCCAGCAGACGTTGAAGCAGCGGGTTCAATCAATTTCGAGGAAATTTCCAAAGAATTGGATCGTCTCGAAAGAGAATTGGATGGTATTTGGAAAAAAAAAATTAACTCAAATAATTTTAAAAGTTCTTTTGAATTGAATTATTATTTTTATCTTATACCTATTTTCTTCTTTATAATTCTATTTAGTTTTAAAGAATTAGATTTTTTTTTAGCAATTTTTGAAAGTATTATGTAATAACATATTTGTTGAATATTGTTTTTATTGGAAATGATTTTTTTTTTTTTGGGAATTTGCAGGTTGTCGAAGAAAATGTCAAATTGTTGTTGAAAGCAATCCTGATAATGCGGGTCCATTTAAGGAAAAAATTGATTCATTTTTACAAGAAGCCGTGAAGGAATTAGCGAGTGAAAAATTAAGTTTACAAGAAGCAAAGAGTAAATTTCGAGGTGTTATGGTGTATTATCAATACATTCCCAAAGGTTGTACGATTGATTCGGCCGATCCTCATGATTTCTTTGTACTTTGGCTCTCATTCTGTCAAGATTTCAAGGTACATTAATAATTCGGAACGCATGATTATATTCTAAAAATATCATTAGTTAGAATTTTTATTTTATGGAATTTCATTTGTCATAATTATTTTTGAGCCGAATTTTTATTTGTTTGAATTAGTATTTTGCAGAATTTTCATTTGTTCGAAATTATAAATAGCTGAACAAACAATCGACAGAAAGATTTCGGCGCGATTTTTAAAATCAACCAATCAAAAATTATCCATAAAATTGTAATTGGATGGTTTTAAAAATCGCGCCAAAATCTTTCTGTCGATTGTTTGTTCGGCCATTTGTAATTTCTCATTTATGTCGGTAAGGTAGAAGTGATAGAGGACGCTCATTCTACCTTATCGACATTAAGGTATGATGATTGGAGAAAATAAAAATAAGAAAAACAAAATTACGAACAAATGGAAGTTTGTAAAAGAAGAAATTATATAATAATTAATTATAATAAATAATAATTAATAAATCCTTAAAATTAAAATTTTCAAAAATAATGTAATTTGAAAAATAGTAAAATACGTATATTTATATTCATATATTTATGTTTTAATAAATAAATATTTCAAATTAATAAAATTATTTTCTTCTTCAAGGATATTTGGAAAAAAGAACAACAAAGAATAAGAACAGAGAAAATAGAGCAAGTGCGTCAAAAATATGGCAAAAGAAGAAATTTTGAAGTAGTTAAAAAAAGTGAAACTGGATTAAAGGCTAGACTGCAAAAATTAACATCAAGAAGATGAGATATGGTGTTATTGTTTAATATTAAAAATTTAAATAAAATTTTTTGTGATATATTTATAATTTTTATAGTACGTCATTTACTATTTATACGAAATTTTGTTGTACATAATTTTTTTTTTTGTTGAAAATTGTATAATATTTTGTGAAAACGTTTTTTTTCTTTTGAAAATTTTGTGAAAACGTATTTTTTTTACTTTCATTATTGAAAAAAATAATTTAATCATTATATTACATGACAATCTAGATTATATTTGTATTATGTTTCTTGTTATTGTAGTGTAAATATTCTATACATAAATCGTTATGTGAGTGTTAAGTTGATCGCACAAAAATATATATAAAAATGTAAAAAATATTTCATTAATCATCATCTAAAGACAAATAATTAATAAAAATAATTTTTATATATAAAAAAATATACCTGGTGTATATCTTTTATTTTTATTTTTATCAATGAATAAAAAATACCCGACAAGAAAAAAATTGATAACTTTCCTAAATTTAAAAATGTAAAATTTTAAAACTTAAATTAAATTTTCAATTTTTAAATTTAGAAAAGTTTTTTTTTGCAAAGTATAGCAGAGGAGAAAAAAATTCCCTTAATTCCAAATTTCTAAATTAGGGAATTCTTTAAAGGAATGTAAGTCTTTTGATTCTATATAAAAATAAGTCTTTAATTTAAAAAAAAAAAAATTTCCAGGGTCTGAAGAAATAAACTTAATAATAATTTTCATTGGGGAAAATTTTGAAATGAAACATTTTTTTTAGAAAAATATTTTAACAAAGAGGAGGGGAAATTAATTGTAAAATTTTTTTGTTTCATTTTGAAAATAGATAAAATGATAAATCGATGAAATTTAATACTGGGAGTACCTAAATTATCATCAAAAAAAAATATATATACGCCCACTAAAGAGCTACTTTTTTTAACTTCATAAAATAATATCAAGTATTTTAAGTTTAGTTCTTCCTCTGAATACTACTTAATCTAGTGAAAGTGTATATGCAGTGTTTGAAAAATGTTGTAAACTATTGTGATTTTTTAAACATAATTTAATTTATTCAACACAAGACAATATGTTGTTAAGAACAATATGGTTATTTATCATTTTTTTTAAGTTTTGTGTAGCATGGATGAACGAAAGGTGAAGTTCTATAAATAACAATAAGTATAATTCTATTTTATTTTTATTTATTTTTTTTTCATATATTTTTATTTTATGTACACAAATATTTTTATTTTATAATTAAAATTTTTTTGAAAGTAATTTTAATTTTCTTTTTTACATTTAATAATAATTAAATTAAATTAAATTCGTATTGCAATTACGTATTTCACAATTGTTAAGTTAAATAAAATTAAATGCCCTAATAACACAAGATATCTTGGGATATATTGATAATATTCCGCAGATATCCTAGGGATGTCCTATGGATATTAAAAGGATCTCTTAAGGATATCCAAAAAATCGGCGGTTTGGATATCCTTTGGATATCCCATGGATATCTGAGGATATCCACAGGATATCTTCTGGATATCTCTATAGACTTTCATAAATGTCCTCCAGATATCCCATAGATATCGTCAGGATATCCCACAGATATTTTCTGGATATTCTCAGTATATCTTCTGGATGTCAAGAAGATATTCTCAGGATACTGTTTTTAGTCATTATAAATTGTCTTTAAACAATATAAATTCTTCCCCGCAAATAACGAATAACTATTAATATTATTAATATAAATTAGAAGCTCATAAGATTTTTGTTTTTATTATATTATTATTCATTATATTAGCTTAACAATTTTAACCTTTAAAAATATATGTTGAGATATTAAATATCCCGTGAATATCTTAAGAATATCCCACGGAGATCCTGAGGATATCCCATGGATGTCCTGAGGATATCCCATGGATATCCTGCGATATAATATCCAATAGATATTTTGTGGATGTCTTAGGGATATCCTGTGGATATCCTATGGATGTCCTGTTGATGTCCCACATACCGGCGGTTTGGATATCCCAAGATATCCTGGGGACCATTCGAGGATATCGACCATTGATATGGATATCCTATGGATATCCTAGGGATATCCTTTTGTTATGAGGGTGTGATTAATTTTTTATAATTTTTATTGAATAAAATTTCATTTTTTTTTAAACAAACATTACCAACAAGTTAAAATTAAAAATAATAAAATAATAATTAAAATTACAAGATTTAAATTGTTTTATAAAAATATGATTATGAACAATTATTTTATACAGACCGGTTTTGGAATCAATAGATGGCAACTTATTCATTTCAAGTGCTAAAGATAAAAATATTACCTTAAAACCTTTGGGAAATGGAATTGTTAACATTAACGATATTAATTTACTCTATGTCGCAACAGAGGTAAAAATATGAATTTGTATAATAACAAAAATTTTTTTTTTCAATTTTTTTATAATATTCATTATTACATTATTGAGTAATTTAAAAATTAATTATTCACACAAGTGTATTAAAAATTACATAATTAATTATTAGCAATAATAATAATAATAATAATAATTTTATAATTTTTAAAATATATATAATTTTTTAATTTTATTATTATTATAATAATAATTATTATTATATATTTATTTACTATAAACAACTTCAAAGAAAATTAAAAAATTTTCAATTTCTAAAGGCCCAAAAAGCATCAAAATTAATAGATAGATGGAAAAGTGGGCGTTTAGCAGACATTGAATTTAGTATCCAGAGATTATCTGAATATGTCGAAGGCCCCCATGGACTTCTCCGACGACTTGATTTATTAACAGGGCATGATTCCGTTTATTCTAATAATTCAAATATTCATCCAACAATAAGTACGGTAGGAAAATTTAATTAATTAAATAAATTTGATTCTAAAATTAAAATTATTCAAAACATTTAATTGATAATTATTATAAAAATAAAATCTCAAATATTCATCTAATTATTATAAATAAATGAGATCAAAATGTAAGCACAAAAATACGGGTAAACATTGTTTTAATAAAATTAAATTTAATTAAATAAAAAAAGATACCAATTTGCAAAATTCCAAAGGAAAATTACATTTTAATTAACGCTGTGAAATTAAATGAATTTTCTAAAGAAATCAATTGAAATATTTTTTAATAACTATATAAAATAAATTAAAAATGGAATTAGTTTATAAAATAAAAAGTAGATTGATGGTGAAATTATTGTTTAATAGGAAACGGAGGAGACAAGGAATGAAGAAGTTCGTAAAGTGAAATTAAGGGTATTATATTCCATTACAAATTTTTTTATTTTTGAAATTCACAATAATTGGAGATTGAAAAAAAAATGTAATTAAAATTTAAAAATATCGTTTCTGCAGGTGACAAATTTAGGGAAAAAAATAAGAAATATTGAACGAAAATTGAGACGAAATGATTGTGTTAGTGATCCATGTCATAATGGTGGTACATGTATAGATCTCTATGATGGTGTTCAGTGTCTTTGTCCATCAAATTTTGAGGTAAAATAAATAATATATATTTTAAAAATACGTTTTCCAATTGTCGAGTTTTACAAAAAAAAAAATGTTAATAGGAATGTCAGTGCTAAAAAAATAATTTTTGTAATTCCGATAGTAAAGAGTGTGCTGATTACGAATCCGAAGTCAATTTTTCCAAAATTGGATCCGCCATTGCAATTTTGAAAATCTGTTGTCAGATTTGTAATAAGGGACCTCAAAAATCCCTGAGTAATGATTTTCAACCCTTGACCTATATCCTTGAATTTTGAAGTTATGTTTGACCTATGACCTTGAATTTTGAGGTTATGTTTTAGAGTCGCTGATTATGAATCTGATTTTAGTTTTTCAAAATTAAAAATATCGCAAATGATTTTTTAAAAATTAATTGAATCCACTTGAGAGATTGGTTACTCGGGGATTTTTGATGATGTTGCTGATTACGAATCAGTGGTTAGTTAATTAATAGAATTAAAGGAATTATTTATTAATTTCGAATGTAATTTTCTAAAATAATTGTAGAATCTTTATACACTCGTAATTTGTTCAAAAATGTCATTTTAGTGACAGTAGTTGAGATGTTTTCATCAGAATAGTTAAATAAAATTTATTACGAATTGCAAATTCGTTTGTCTGCCTTTAGCATTAGTCAAAATTATCCGCAACAAAAATTATACCAAATTTTTTTTTTGTAATCGATTGGATTCAGTTGAGAATCGTTAATCATGGGTTTTCAAGGTCACTTATAACAAATCTGATAGCAGATTATTAAAATTCAAAATGAAGGATACAATATATGGAGGAACTATTTTCAAAATTAATAGGATTTTGTTGAAAATTGTTATTTATTGGTTTTTGAGCTTGCTGATTACAAATCTAATGACGGATTTTTAAATTACAAAATGGCGGATCTCATATGGTGGAAGTATTTTCAAAATTGATCGAAATCAGTTGAAAATCTTTACTCAGGGGTTTTGCGATGTGTTAAATGACACATGAACACTTTTTCTATAAATCCCAATAGTTACTTCATTATATTTTGTTGTTCCATCAACAATTTTAGTGACCGTTGTGTTCCCAATGCTTTTCCATTTAAAACACGTTGAATCGATTCGCTAGAGGTGAATTATTGTAATAATTTATTGACATTTTTTCGTAGGGTCCATTTTGTTCCATTGATGTAAATGAATGTATGAAATATAAAAATACCGATTTGGGTTGTCAAAATGGAGCAACTTGCAGAAATGTCTTTGGTTCATACGAGTAAATTAATTTTTTCTTTCTAATTACTGTAATAAATTAACTTCCATTTATAGTATAATAACTACTATATAATTTTCTTTCAAAAAAATAGGTGCATTTGTCCTTCAGGATGGTATGGAAAGGATTGTGTGTTAAAATCAACAAATTGTAGTTTACAAAATGATGCCGAATTATGTGGACACGGTCATTGTATAGCTGTTGCAGGATCACCTCTTGGTTATACTTGCCTTTGTAAACAGGTAATTCCAAATATATATATATATATATATATATACTTTAAATTTACAATCAAAAAGAAAATGTTTAAAATTTCTAAATATTTATTTCTCTTTTAATGAAACAAAATGTTCTTTAATTACAATTTTTATAATCCAGGGATGGGAGGCTCATGATGTTACAAATCCTGCATGCACCAAAGATGTCAATGAATGTGCATTAAATCATCCTCCGTGTTCGGTAAATCCCCCTGTTATTTGTCACAATATTCCAGGATCGTATTTTTGTGGCAGCTGTCCACAAGGATACACAGGAAATGGATATTATTGTAGTGACGTTGATGAGTGTATTTATGACAATGGTGGATGTAGCAATGTGCCTCGAGTTCAGTGCATCAATACAATGGTAACTTTTGGTGGAATTAAAAGTAAAAGTTAAAAAGAATAATTAAGATATAAAGAAACTTTTATTATTCATTTCAAATTCATTTGAAGCTTTCTTAATATGCTTGCAATGTAGTTTCAAGGTTTTAGGAAGTCTAATTGGGTATTTAGAATATAATTCCCATTTTCTCTTGAAAGGGCTCCAGAATGTGTGGATCTTGTCCATCAGGTTATGAAGGAAATGGAGAAGTGTGCACCTATGTTGGAGGTTGTAAAATTAATAATGGAGGCTGTCATCCCCTAGCAATATGCTCCGAAAGTTCATTTAGTGGAGTTACATGTCGTTGTCATTCTGGATATATTGGAGATGGAATTGCTAGTTGTGTTCCTCATTCTAGCCCAACGGATACAACTGGTGCTTGCGCTAGTAATCCATGTGTTCACGGGACATGTGTTCCTGGAATTGGGAATACCTTTTCATGTCATTGTCAAGATGGATTTACAGGTAATTGGGAATTGTATTTAATAATATTGAGAACAGCATATTAGACAAGAATTTCGCCTTTTTAAATCTTGTTTAGTTATTAAAACACTCTTCCTACAATTATTTTACTGTGGCTGATCGTTTTAATATGAAAAAGTAACAATACAGTTGAAGGAAGGGAATTAGACCAGCCGTTAATATTTTTTTGATCAGCAGTAACTAAAAAATAATTAAAATCATCCAGGTATTTCATGTAATGTAGCAGTCGATCCATGCAATCCAAATCCATGTAGAAATAATGGAATTTGTAAAAGAACGTCATCCGGTAGCGTTATGTGTGAGTGTACATCAAGTTTCACAGGATCAAAATGCCAAAAATCAAGACAATCGTGTGGTGCAGTTTTAAGAGATCCTGTTGGAATTGTAGAATATCCCCTTGGTGGTGTAAACTATCAGGATGGACAAACTTGTGCTTGGCAGCTAAAAACTAATCACAGTTTTGTTTTTAATGTCACATTTACTCGATTTTCTTTGGAATCTTCATCCGAGTGCGCTTATGATTTCTTAGAGGTAAGGAAAATATTTTTATTATTTTATTGGAGATTTTATTTAATTCCATTGAGTTTATTTTAGATTCACGATGGAGAAAGTACAAGAGATCATCCATTTGGAAGATTTTGCGGTGGCATTGATAACCTACCGAATAAGGGAAACATTATTTCCTCACACAATGCTCTCTATTTTTGGTTTCGTTCTGATCATACAGTAGCTTCTGAGGGATTCACTTTCACATGGAATGTAATTCCACCAGTTTGTGGAAGTACAATTAGAGCTGATATAGGAACAATTAATTCTCCTGGTTATCCAGGAAAGTATCCACCTCAAAGGGATTGCTACTGGTATATTTATGTTAGTCCTGGAAAAAGAATTAATTTACATTTTGCTCAGATGATGCTAGAAGAACATGCAACTTGCGAATATGATTATCTTGAGGCAAGATGAAATTCTTTATTCCAATTTGTACTAATTAATTTGTAATAATATATTTCTTTCTCTATTAATCTATTTTGTCATTTTTCAAAAGATCAATGAGACCACGAGTTACGGAAATAAACGACTTGGTTTATATTGCAATCACACTCATCCCACACCTTTTATATCCTCTGGCTCGGAACTTATTCTTCATTTTCATTCAGACAGTGCTGGACAGGATTTTGGTTTTCAAATTACCTTCTCCAGTCAAGCAGGTACTACAAAATTCTTTTATCAGAAAAATTTTTTGTCAACATCAAATATTAATTTCAGCATCTCCAGACTGTGGAGGAGTTTTTACTCAAGATCATGGAGATATTGCATCTCCTGGATTTCTTTCGTCAGTCGGTTATGGTCCAAATTCAGTTTGTGAATGGGAAATCCGCCTACCGCCAAATGAACGGATTAAACTAACATGGATTGAATTTGAATTAGAACCATCGTCATCATGTATTTTTGATTCTGTTTCGGTTTGTACAAGAAGCAATGCACAAAAATTTTTGTGAAATAATTTTATTTTTGAAAATAAATATTTTCTGCAGCTTTTTCAAGGAAATACAGTGGAATCTCCATTAATTGGCTCTTACTGTGGAAATGATCTTCCAGAGTCTAGGACAATAAATACAAATATTTTACTCATTCGTTTGGAAACGGATGCATCTAGTCACAGACAAGGTTTTCATTTGAAATATGAAACTGCATGTGGTGGTGAATTTTATGAATCAAGTGGAATTATACAATCGCCTTTATTCCCATCAATGTATCCACCTTCTAAGATGTGTACCTATAAAATTATTCAACCAGTGGGTAAAATAATAGCACTTACTCTACAATTTTTGGATATCGAAACAATGGGCGAGGAGGCATGTGAATATGATTCTCTAAGTATTTATGATGGAATGAATAGTAATGCAACTCGTCTTGCTACAATTTGTGGAAATAAAGATAATATGCAAGCGGAACCATTTATAACAAAACATAATTATATGTACTTGGTTTTTGAATCCGATATCAATGTACAATATCGTGGTTTTTCGGCTAATTATACGAGTTTGGATGTTGGTAAGACAATTTATATTTGTTTCCTTATAATGGTAATGCATTGAAATTTATTTTTAGAATGTGGAGGAATACATACAGATCCAAATGGAAATATTAATTATCCTATCGGTGGAGGGGAATACAGAAATAATTTAAATTGTATTTGGTTGATTCATGCACCACCCGGTCATATTGTTCAAATTTCGTGGTCTTTATTTAGTCTTGAATATGATTTTAAATGCAGAAATGATTATGTGGAACTTTTTGACAATTATGAAGTCTCTGCATTAAAATCTATGGGAAAGTAAGAGATTTAGTTTAAAAATTAATTTCATTCAGCAAAAAAAAAAAATTTACTTTTTTAGATTCTGTAGTAATTCTTTACCACCGACAATGATGACACAAGGTCAAGATATGACAATAGCATTTCGATCAGATTTCAATTTGGGATATCGAGGATTTAAAGGACACTATTCATTTGTGGATATTTCCAAATCCTGTGGTGGACATTTATATGCAATGACTGGAATTATTAGAACTCCCAATTATCCTGAAAAATATTCAAGATCTATGACTTGCGAATGGATAATTGAAGCTCCTAGTAAACATCAAGTAATTCTTCGTGTTAAAGATTTTGAGATTGAAAAAAAAGGTTGTTTATACGATTATTTGGAAATAAGGTAAGAATTCCCATTACAAAGAAAAGAAGATTATATATCTAATTCTAATTTCTATTTTAGAAATGGTATTTACAATAATTCACCATTAATTGGAAAATATTGCGGCGATATTGAAAATATTCCAAATACAATAAAGAGTTTTAGTAATCACATGTATTTAAAATTTGTCAGTGATACAACTGAAGTTGAAAAAGGTTTTGAAATTGAATGGGATCTCTTGACAGTTGGTAAGAAATATTTTTTATTTTCTTCTAAATTAGAAGTTATTTAATGAATTTCTTTAGGATGTGGAGGTACATTAACAGCAGCAAATGGTGATATTATCTCTCCAAATTATCCACAATCATATGGAAGAAGTGCTTTGTGTACATGGAATATTATAGTATCAGCTGGAAGCTTTGTGCAAATTGTGTTTGTCGATTTTGAGTTGGAAACTCACAACACTTGTCGATTTGATTATTTAGAAATTGCAGAAGGTAACGATGCTAATCGTCAGAATATTAAACGTTATTGCGGTACTAAATATCCAAATGTTGCAACATTTCAAAGTAATTTAGTAACAATTCGATTTAGAAGTGATCCTTCTAACCATTATCGAGGATTTCATCTGAAATATAGCACTGGTGAGTGTACAAAAACCTGGTATCTAAATTATATTTAAATTGTTTCTAATAAATTTTTCTTAAATTACCAGAGTGCCATAATACAATTCATGGCATTCAAGGAGTTATCGAATCACCAAACTTTCCACGAAATTATGAGCATTCAACTAATTGCACATGGATGATTGAGGCACCAATTGGTAACAAAGTAAATGTAACTTTTTCTCATTTTGAACTGGAAAGTGGAAGAAAGGAAAATGTTTGTGATAATGATTATTTGAAAATAGAAGAAGGATCTGAAGGAATTGCTACAAATGTTTTAGGGACATTTTGTGATACTGAAATAATTCCACCTAAAATTTCATCAAAAGAGCATCAAGTATTTGTATCTTTTATCACAGATAGTTTTATTGCTCATAAGGGATTTAGACTTGAATGGGTAGTAAGTGGTTGTGTGGATTATTTAACAAAACCTAAAGGTACATTTAATTCTCCTGGATATCCTAATGGTTATCCATTAAATACAGTATGCGAATGGTTAATAGAAGTTGATTACATACACAGTGTTCAGCTGACTTTTGATGAGGTAGTAACTGAGAAAGGTGTTAATTGTGAATTTGATAAAGTTGAAATTTACAGTGGGGGAAATGATAAGGCACCAAAATTAGGTGAATTATGTCATTCATCTAAACCTGTTGTATTCACTAGTTCAGGAAATAAGATGTTTGTCAGATTTACTTCTGATGCCTCTACTTCGAATAAGGGTTTTAGTGCTAGATACGAAAGTGTTAATTTAAGATGCGGAGGACACTTTACATCGCAATTTGGAACAATTCATTCGCCCAATTATCCACAAAATTATCCACACAATCAAAATTGTGAATGGCTTCTGACCATCGACAAGGATCACGTAATTAAATTGAATTTCACAAACTTCGATATTGAAAATACAAAAAATTGTTCGGATGATTATGTTAAAGTTAGTATTAATATGTTTTATTTATATGAAATATTACTGCATTGGATACAAAAGCTGATGATTTTTTCTAATACAAGGTATTCGATGGAGCATCAAACACAGCCACTTTGCTTGGTACATTTTGCCATAATAAAATACCACCTACATTGACTTCAACTGGAAATCAAATGTTAGTGGTAATGAGAAGTGATAGTTTTCTCACTGCTAAAGGATTTAAAGCTGATTATCAAAGAGCATGTGGAGCTACAATAAAAGTAAAAGATCATGGTATTTTGAGTACATCTTCATCTTTATTTTTAAGAGAATCTGCAACAAATTGTAGTTGGATCCTTATTGCTGAAGATCCGGGTAATTTTTTTTTGTTAAATAATAAATTGTATACAAATTTATCAAAACGTTTAATTTATTTATTCTTGAAATTCCAGCTGATCATATTACATTTACTTTTACTCACATTCAATTTCCAAGTGATTGTGATTATCAGTACATTGAGGTTCATGATGGTGCCAACACTGAGGGACCATCATTGGGAACATGGTGTCGTACTGACGTTCCTCCACCAATTATTAGCAGTGGAAATTCATTAACAGTGAATTTAGTGTCACTGTTGTATAATTCTGAAAGTTTTTTTACAGCTTACTATTCGAGTTTAAATACTGGTAAATTTTTCTCATTTTAACAATATATCTGTTAACATTTGTTTCTTCAATAAAATTAATTGATACAGCTTGTGGAGGGAATTATACATCAACAAGTGGTTCAATTACGTCACCATCTTATCCCAATAGTTATCCTATGAACGCTGAGTGTATTTGGACAATAAATGTATCACCTGGCAATGGAATAGCGTTAGGTTTTGCAGAATTTAATTTAGAATCAAGTACACATTGCAATGAAGATTATTTGGAAGTTCGTGAGAACAATGGAATTGGAAAATTGTTGGGAGTATTTTGTTCTGAAAATCCAGAAACATTGGAATCAAATAAAACACTTTGGATTAAATTTAAAAGTGATGGTAAAGGTACAGCTTCGGGATTTAGGGCTGATTATGTACTTCTTCATGGAATGGATTTAGATGGACCGTCTGGTGAAATTGCATCACCTTTATATCCAATGCCTTTGGTATTTGATGAAGAATATTCTTGGCGTATTACTGTCGATTTTGAATGGATAATAAAAATTGAATTCAATGATTTTGCAATTGGACAGGTTGTCGACGACTGTTACACTAAACTTGCTGTAAGTTTTTTTTTTGTTGTTGCAATTTTTAATTTAAGAAATACAAATCCAAATTATTCTAGATATACGATGGTTATAATGATGAAGCTCCAACATTATTTTCTGGATGTGGATTAACGAAACCAGAACCTGTCAAATCCAAAAGCAACATCGTTTACATTAAATTAACATCTATGGTTTTTAGTGTAAGTCATGTGTAAAAACTATAATTGTACCTAATTTCTTTTTAAATATAAATCATCAAAAAAAAAATTATTTTTAACAGCTTGAGTGGCATCATGCAGGATGTTGGTTCTTTTTATCATGGCATCAAATTCCAAGAGGTGAAATTGAAGAAGAGAATCAATTAAAGACGTGTAGGTTTTTTTTTATAATTTCCGTTGTGAGATAAATTAAATGTTAATAAAAATCTTTATTTTTAGTACCAAATTGCAATCAGATGATAAGTTTAACAGACCCTCGAAATGGAAGTTATATATTTTCTTCTCCTGGATATCCTAATGGATACTCTCCCAATTTAGAATGCAGTTGGTTATTTATGTCACCTGTAGGAACGCATCTTGTTTTTCAAGCGCGAGTAATGGATCTGGAAGAATCTACCGATTGTGTTGCTGATTATGTTGCTGTTTATTCTGGAAATGCTCTAAATTCAAATACGGGAAAATTCCTAAAACAGGAATGTTTGTCAAATAATTCTTTTGTTACAATACCAAGCGGTAATGAAATGACTGTACGTTTTGTGTCTAATTATATAGAAAATGGAACAGGTTTTGAAGCCGTTGTTTTTCGAGGTGTTTTTTTAATATCAAATTATTTCTGTATTATAATTTATTTTTATAATTTAAATAAATTATTATTAATTTTGTAGAATGTGGAGGACAAATGGAAGGACCAAGAGGAATTATCCAGTTTGATAATACATCTTATTATGCTGTTCATTCTCTTCGATGTGAATGGAATGTTACAGTTAGACCTGGAAGAACAATAGAAGTCAAATTTCTTGAATTGGAAATGATGAATAAAGATCCTAAAGTTTGCAATCGTAATTTCATAATGGTTCGTTATTTAATTGTAATTAATATATTTATAGGATTGTATATTGAAAATATGTAAATTTTTTTTCTTAATGTAATTTTTAGTTAAAGAATGGAGAATCTGCATTTTCTCCTCTTCTTGGAGAAGGGAAATATTGCGGTGATACTATTCCTTCACCTTTAACAACAACAACAAATAAATTGTACGTTAAAGCAGTATGGCTGGCATCTTCTGCAAAATTCAAATTATCATACAGGTAATAATTATTATCTTATTTAATCAAATGGCTTGAATTTTGATTTATATTTACAAAATAATACTACCTTTTGCATATATTTTTAGGGAAGTAGGAATGGATTGTGGAGGTCAATTAACTTTATCTGATGAAAATAGTTCTATAGAATTTTCAACACCAAACTATCCAAATGTTCCACCACCTTATACTGAATGTATTTGGACATTTTTGGCGCCGGCAGGAAAGAGGCTTTCAATTCATTTTATCAATGCTTTTGATTTGACTGATAGTGCAAAGTAAGTTTATTTTTTTGGCAACTGACGATAATAATTTTATTTCATAATTAGCTCAGATAATAAATAATTGTACGAATGATTTTAAAATTATTTTCCAAAACAGTTGTGAAAAAGAGTACGTTGAAATTCGAGACGGTGGCACGGAATCTTCGAAATTATTGGGAAGATATTGTTCAGATATTGCTCCTAGTACAATAACTTCAGTTGATAATGTATTGTATGTACATTTCTATTCTGACGTCGCAGATCAAAAGAATGGATTCCAAGCAGTTGTAACGACAGATGGTTTGATATTAATATTCTTATAGTTAAAATTTTTCATTTATAATTTTCGAAAATTGTTTATTATAATAATTTGCTTCAGCTATATGCGGAGGAATAATGAGAGGTGTTCGTGGTGTAATAAGATCACCAAATTATCCTAATAATTATCCAAAAAATCAACATTGTGTATGGTGGATAATTGGACCATCGAGTTATTCATTAAAAATTCAATTCCAAGATTTGCATTTACCCAGTTTGCGAAAATGTAATCAAACTGATCATATAATTATTAGTGAAAAATTACCAGAAAATAATACGTGTAAGTTTGAATTTGAAATTTTATTACATTAGAAATTAGACTTTTAGAATTAAATGAAATATTCTAAAAGTTTAATTTTTACAATTAATAAAAGTGGTATTCGAATAATTTTGATTATAGCTACGGAAATTGGTACATATTGTGGATGGAATAAACCAGATTTAATTAGAACTGCTTCGAATGAGGCATTAATTACTTTTGTAACAGACGATAAAGAATTTATATGGTACAGGGGATTTAGTTTGAATTATTCCATAAGTTTTGAAAGTAAGTTAAAAAATATGTTCATTTCTGCGAAAATAAAAATAATTATTTATCCAATTAGGAATTTGTGCACTTGTTTATCAATTTTATTAATTTAAGAATGTGGCGGTGCTTTGTCCGGAATGTTTGGTGAATTTAAGACATCTGGTTATCCAAATGGAAATCTAAGAAGGTAAAATAATTTATGTAATGATGGGATTTTTTCTTTCGTTCTGTTGTCTATTTGTTTTTATTTCAAATTTAGATACTGTGTTTGGAGAATTACAGTTCCAGAAGGTTTTCAAGTCATTGTAGATGTCCTTGACATTGAATCAGACTACAGATATCCAGTTAAGGTAATAAACACAAAAATTCTAATTTAACGAGTATAATTTCAGTTTTCATAAATAAAATTCGATTGATTTCAGTTCTTCAACGATATTTATCATATTTCGAGAATTAAATTTTTGAAATCCAGTGATCCTGAGAAACGTGTTATTAGTTCATCTAATATAATGGTTGTTTCGCATTTTTCACAAATTGGACAACGTGGATTGAAAGCTAAATTCACAGCAGTTGCACCAGCACGTGAGTTATTGATAATTTTATAAATACCAAGTATACACCATAAGACTTCTTAAAGACGTCATTATTTGTTCTGTATCGTAAAATTAAAAACATTTCAAACATTGAAATTGTATTTAAGAGTGATAGCCAAAAAGTTAAAGAGGGAAGAAAGTTCTCCTTGCCACCAAAGCAACATGTGTTACTGTGCACGGTAGCACCGAATCCTAAGCAAATCAGTAAGAAGAAAGTGACGAGTAGATCTACAACGGTGATCTGACTCGCAACAGGAACAACGTATGAAAACATACTTAGGAAACTGGGAAAGGGGAAATAAATTCGGACGTCAGGCACATGTAGGTCGTAGGTGCAAGGCCTACAAGAAAGGGAGATCAACTGATCAAATTTGAAGGAGACTCCAAATTACCGCTGAGGTCATCAATGCGGTTGTAAAGCATGGGGAAGATGCAGACCGTGGAGCAACAGGTCACACTGATGATTCGCGACCTGGATTACCTTACTCAGGAAAAATAGGTCCAACAGGCGTTGGTTGAAGAGCTCTAAAAGCCAGGAAAGTGACTGTCCTAGGACCTATCCGACGAGGAATGAAGCTTGCGGTTCATGACCCAGAGGAGGTGAACAGGCTGAAAGAGTTGGACGCATAAGGATTGGTTTTTAATGTTGCTCAATAAAAAGAAGGGTGATGGTCGTTTGGTGCCACCGATGCCTGACGTACTGCTACATAAGAAGAGTTTGTAAGGCAGCGGACAGATTGACTGCTTCAAGTGTGGTGAAGTCGGTCATATGTTTGCAAATTGTAGTAAAAGTCCAAGCTGCTTCTTATGTAGAGAAAAGTATGAGGATAAGGAGAACATCAGTCATGTCGCAATCAGCGGAGTCTTCAGGACGGTCCTTTAAGAGTTTAAGAAGACTCGCACTAAGAACTCGCCAGAAAGATCAGTAACGGTAGGGGTCGCGAAAGCAAGATCCCAGGGACCTTTAGTCACGAAGTTTAAAGCTTGACGGCAGTTCCGTAGAGTAAAGATTAGTCCAGCCGAAGGGTATGGTTTTTAGTGGGTCGACCAGAACCCCAAGAATTGAAAATGGCCATAATTTAAAAATAATGGGAGTTTATTAGAGATTGGTAACTATTTGTGGGTTGGATACAGAAATAAGGTAACGGTATTAAAACATTGGTTGAGGTTTTCGGTCACTTGTTATTTGATCCAAACAAAGCAAGAGAAAGTGAGAAAATGCTGCAAGTGCGTTAAGTTTTGCTAAACTTATAAAGAGGAACCGGAAACCCTCTTTCATTTGAACAGGTTGATGAATACATTTGATACCTGCAGAAAAACAAAAAAATAAATTTAAAAAAAATATTAAATGCCACTATGACCTGAATATTCTTGACGATCACTGGCGATTGTATACTTACAATTTCATCTTCTCGACATATTTATTTATGTTTATTGATAAGAAAATAAATAATAATTACGAAAAATTGTGCAACGTCACAAAAAGAATTTGAAAATTTATTTTCTTACTTAAAATCTATTTTCTTGCATTTCAGCTTGTGGTGGACTGATGAAAAATCTCAAAGGCAGCCTTTCAGTACCAAATACAAGGCCATTTAATGAAACATCCTTTTATTGTCAATGGAGAATGGAACCACCAGAGGAGATTCTTCATTTTGAAAATCAAACTGGTTTAACGATGACTTTAAAAGTTTCTGGAATTATTGGTGATACACGGCAAGCAACTAGAAACTGTTTATTTTATCAACAATACGTAAGAGTTACAGGTTTGTTTTTTCCATTGTATATTACATTTTATCAAATATATATTTGATAAACTTGTCATTTTTCTACAATATTGTTACAGATCCTGATGCTTTAATTGCTACTGTTTGTGGTAATCTTATGTCAAAACCAATGTACGTGCGTTCTCCATCCACTTTAAATACTGTTAAGGTAAACTATCAATTCCTGGAATGAAATTTTTCTTTAAAAAATAGGAATTAATTGAATTCAAATATCGTTTTATGAAGAATCAAATAGTATTTTCATTGCTCTTCCGTAGGTACTGAATGCAACTGAAGTATCGCCAATGAAAATTAATCTAACGTACGAATGGCAAAAATGTGGTGGTATCTTAGGTGGTCCATTCCATACAATTCAAACTCCAAGACTTGAATCATTTCCAATAAATTGTGCTTGGGAAGTCAAATTTCCGGACAATGGAGAAATTATAAATTTAAAGTTTAATTCAATAAATTTAGGAAGTTGCGAGAAAAATTATATTATTGTCAGGTAAACTAGAAATCAATATAATTTTCTTAGAATTTAGAATAAATTAATTATTACACAGCCCCACAAAAAAAAAAGTGTCGTGCGCGGCAGACCAGACTAGTCATTTCCCATGTATTTTGACGCGCTGAACACGAATCCGAAGTCCGTTTTGCTCCATCACGTCAGGATTTTTTTATAACCTCCAAAAACCTGTCGGATTTTGAGAGGTAGGCTATTTTTTTTAAAAATTGATGGATTTACTTCAAAATTGGTATCTAGGGGTTTTTTGGGTCGCTGATGACGAATTTGAAGTTAGATTTTCAAAATTCAAAATGGCGGCTCCAATATGGCGGACGAATTTTGTAAAAATTGATGGATTTACTTCAAACTTGGTATGTAGGGGTTTTTTGGGTCGCTGATTACGAATCTAAAGTTAGATTTTCAAAATTTAAAATGGCGGCTCCAATATGGCGGACGATATCGACCCTTCAAAGGTGATAATTCCGCCCTTACATACGAAACTAGGAGCAATTAAACAGTTTGTCAAAGCCTTAGATAAAAAAGGAAACTGTTTCAAATACCTGGAACAAAAGTTTCCAGAAATCTCTGATGCGAAACAAAAAGAAGGGGTTTTCGACGGACCACGTATTCGCAAATTGTTAAAAGATGAGCAATTTATCACCAAGATGAATAAAAAAGAGAAAGCCGCATGGCTTAGTTTCAAAGCAGTTCTCGAAAATTTTCTGGGTAATTACAAGAGTGAAAATTGGAAGCAAATAGTTAGTGATATGATTAAAAACTTTGGTAAGTTAGGATGCTTAATGAGCATAAAGTTGCATTACTTAGACTCGCATCGGGATCAATTCCCTGAAAATTTGGGAGATTACAGTGAAGAACAAGGAGAACGATTCCATCAAGATCTGAAAGAATTTGAGTGTCGTTATCAAGGAAGATGGGATGTAAATATGATGGCCGACTACTGTTGGATGCTGAAAAGGGATATTGTACCTGGAGGCACCAATTTGAAAAGAAAACCATTACACAGATCCTTTGAGGACAAAAGAGTGCGCTACCATAAAAAGACGTGAATACCTTACTTATGTATATAAGAATTTCCATTTTTAGTTTTGAAAATCTAACTTCAGATTCGTAATCAGCGACCCAAAAAACCCCTACATACCAAGTTTGAAGTAAATCCATCAATTTTTACAAAATTCGTCCGCCATATTGGAGCCGCCATTTTGAATTTTGAAAATCTAACTTCAAATTCGTCATCAGCGACCCAAAAAACCCCTAGATACCAATTTTGAAGTAAATCCATCAATTTTTAAAAAAAATAGCCTACCTCTCAAAATCCGACAGGTTTTTGGAGGTTATAAAAAAATCCTGACGTGATGGAGCAAAACGGACTTCGGATTCGTGTTCAGCGCGTCAAAATACATGGGAAATGACTAGTCTGGTCTGCCGCGCACGACACTTTTTTTTTTGTGGGGCTGTGTTATCTATCTTCTTTTTAAAGAAATGGTGGACCAAATTCTCCAGAGTTGGATAAAATTTGCGGTAATATAATACCGCAAAAAATTGTCAGCTCCAGTCATAAACTTTGGATTGAATTTTATTCGGAGACCACGCCAAATGATTTTGAATTTACATTAGATCAAATTGGAAATGAATGCGGTAGTGTATATCGTGGTAATCGAAAAGAAATCTCTTCACCCAAGTAAGATATATATTTTGCATATTTAATGAATACTTGGCTAATTATTACATATAAACAAACAATTTTAGATTCCCATCATCTTATTTACCAAATTCTGAATGTGTTTGGACTCTTGTGGCGGAGGCGGGTTATCATATTCGACTTGAATTCGTGGATAGATTTAATTTAGAATCTAGTACAAATTGTGAAAATGATTATATACAGGTAATGATAATTTATAATCTTCAGAAATCAATATTCGGTATTTCTAATAGTGGTAATTTTAATTAATGCATTAAAAAAAATGTTTTTGATCTTTAAAGTTATTTAAATGGAACGATAATGAGAAAGGTGACAATGAATGGACACAAATAGATAAAATTTGTGGTCGTAATACGCCAGGTTCATATAATTCGACTTCAACACGATTGAAAGTTTTATTCCATTCAAATGAAGCAATTGAAGGAGATGGATTCCGAGCACTATGGTATCAAGATTGCGGAGGAGTTTTTGAAGTCACTAAGGATATGAAATATCTGAAATCACCGAATTATCCAAGTTCTTATAAGAGAAATCAATTTTGTAACTATACTCTTATTGCACCTCAGAAAGATATTATTGTCGACTTTATAGACTTTCAAGTTGAACAAGGAAGTAAAGGTGTTGTAGAATTTAAGCATACTTTGTTACTTTCTTTTTTAGTTATAAAACAGAAATAATCAAATTGTTTAGAGTATTTGTAATATTACTGTTTTCTTTTAGGTAAACGTGATTGTCGCTGGGATAATGTGACAATTATAACTGAAGGTATGTATTATTTTGAGGAACCTTATGAAACTGTTTTCTGTGGATCTGAATTACCTGCAGTTCAAAAATCCGTTTCAAAAATGCAAATCATATTAAGAACGGATTCCTATCGTCAAATGCCTGGATTCTTTCTGAGATACTTTTTAAGCGGTAATTACTTAAGTAATATTTATCAAAATTAAGAATCAAAAGAGACTTCAATACGTTTTCTTTGGTTGGAGGGAATTTAGAAGTTCTAAATTGGTGATTAAATTAATTATTTGTTTTAATAAAACTTTTAGAATGCGGTGGTGAAATAACAGAGCCGCAAATGATCAGTTCTCGTAATAATGGTCCAACATATTTTGGTGGAATTAATTGTACTTGGGTTATTAAAGCTCCCTTAAACAAGAGAGTGGTACTTGGTTTTGAGCAATTTTCACTTGAATATAGTTCAAGGTAATGAATTAGAGTCATTTTCATTGTCAGTGTTTAATTATTGTCAATAAAGAATTTTAGAGTTATTAAATCATCTGTTAATCTGTATAATTATGTTTGTATAATATTTCTTTAACAGTTGTTCTTTTGATATGGTTGATGTGTTCGAAGGATCTTTTATTGACGTTGCGAAACGATTGGGAAGTTATTGTGGAAATTTGACTGAAATGCTTCCAATTATTAAAACTACAGGGAATGTAATGACTGTTAATTTTATTTCTGATGAATATAATCACTTTGGAGGTTTTAAAGCGTTGGTAACTATTTTTTACTGTATTGTGTATTATATCAAACATTTTAGGTTTTTAGTAGAAGAAGAATATAGAACTTGAATTTAGAAAACAGAAAATTTTTTAATGTTTCATAAACTTAAATTCAATTTATTTCGTTTAGATTACATTTGGAAATAATGAAGCTGAAGGATGTGGAGGAATTTTAAATATTACCGACTCTATTTCCTTTAGGACACAAAAGTCTGAATTTTATGATTCTTTACAAGATTGTCACTGGACTGTAATTACATCACCTACTAAACAATTAAGATTCATTATCAATTCCATTGATTTAAAATTGAGTGTTAATAAAACTGTTCGTTACGACCGAATATGCTCAGGAGATTATTTAGAGGTAAAAAGTTATATATTCCTTATATTAGACTGATAAATTAACTAATTTTATTATATTAAATCAGGTAAGGGATGGAAAATCACAATACGGAGAATTACTTGGCGAATTTTGTGGTAATGATTCACCAGCTCCTTTGACATCCTCTACGAATTCATTGTGGATCAGACTTTTCACGGATGGAACAATTGTAGGAAGAGGTGTTACTGCAACAATTGAAGCATTTGAATGTGAGTTTGGTCAAAAGTAAATTTCGCTTCTATTCTTTTCTAATAACAATTGGTTTCTGATCATTTTCTGGAATAGGAAAAAATAATTAGAAATAATGTAAATGAATTGTTATGCAAAACGTTATCTTGAAAAATTTTCAGCCTATTGTGGAGCAACGGAACTTCATTTTAGTAACAAAACACAAATTCTGCAATCACCATCATATCCTGATCCATACCCAGCAGAAATAACTTGCAGATGGTTATTGTCCGAACCTATTGGAGAATTGGGAGTCTATTTTATTCACTTTACTGATTTCGATTTATTAGACAACGAAGAATGTAAAGAAGAATATGTTCAAATCACTGATTATAACGTAAGAAACAAATATTCATTATCGTTTACTTTAATTTAATAAATTAATTTATTTATTCCATAATAAAATGTAATGAATTTTTTTCCACTTTAGAATAAACATTATATTTCTGAAGGATATGGGGAAAACCATATTGTCAGTGGCAAACAACATGATCTATTTAGTTTGACCTTGGTAAAAAAAATTTTCAAAATAGTCTCATATATATAAAATTAATTAATAATTTATATTATTATTAGAATACAGTTTCAAATTTCGATTATTTTTTAGGGTAATCTTTTACCTGATGCTTCATTAAAATATTGTGGAAACGCAATGCCGCACGATTTTTACAGGTATTATTTGAGACAAAAACTTTTTAAAATATGATGAAATCAAGTGGACAAATTAAGTTAATAGAAATTCATAATAATATTAAAATATTATTCTATAATTATTTTAGCTATGGAGACCAAATAGAAGTAAAATTCAAATCGTCAATTCAGAATGCACCAAGTCATAAAGGCTTTAAATTTGAATATGGAATATCTAAGTGCGACCGTAATCGAACAGGACTACAGGGAAGATTAGTACATCAAGGTTTTGATGAATGTTGGCTTACAATTACTGCTCCACTTAATCACACTATTGCCTTGTACTTTAACAGTTTTAGATTAGGAGGTTATGACAATTGTGATGAAACTGCATTACAAGTAAGTTTCTCATTTAAATTTAATTATTGTTACTGGAAATTGTTAGATATTTATAAATTTCTAATCTAATCAAAGACAGGCTCAACCTAAGGTTCCCTGTTACGAGAGATGGCAACTAAGTCGAAACCCATTGTACCTATCCCTCTAGCAGATTCGATGCAGAATAACATACTTAGAAATCTACCCTTTTCCAGAAGGCTAGAATCTCTTCAATTGAGAGGTTTTGAATCCATTCTGGTTCCACAAGTTCTTGTCTCCAGTAGGTATTGCTGTCTAACTGCCGCAAACTCTAGACAGTGACATAGAAAGGGAATCGATGATTCTTCATACGAATCATCCAGTCTGCAACTACATGACATTTATCTACGTATTTTGTGCTGATGGTAGTTGAGTAATAATATTTTATGTCACTGTCCAGCTTATACTGTAGTGAGACATCAATGCTGGGGTCATGCCTTTGTAGACCTAGATTGGATTCGCAACCTCTCGGTAGAAGAGTTACTGGACTTTTGAAAGTCCAGCTTGCTGGGGTTAGGTGAAATGGGTCTTGCGACTTAAGTGCCAACATTCGTACTAGGGGATATTGGTATAAGCTCGTTTTAGATTAGATTATTAGATTAGAACCCATCGCGTGTTGTAAGAGGCGACTAAAGATACAATTTTGAACTTACTACGTCTTCTCTTTTGGAGGCTGGGTAAGACATCGATCTGCAAGCAGAACCACCGCGTGAACCACACTGAAAGTACACGATTCTTGTCCAGGGTAACTCACGCCCACTACTGTTGGGTTGTTATCAAGGTTAATATGACTGTAACTAACTACTTCCCCATTTCATTGGGCACCCACATCTTGCACTCTAGATATCATCTATCTTGTGGGGAAAATGAAAGCACCAAAAGGAATTCTATGTCGTAAAAGCCGTTTTTCAATCCCCACATTACCTTGCAGTGAAACTAGCGCAAAGGATCGGCAATGAAGATCGAGATTTAGTTCCTACAAAGACCCAAGTATCTCGTTGAACTGCACTTTACCTTCTCTTTTAATAACCTTGGTGATTTCTTTGGTAAAAACCTTCTTGTTCAGGAGTTCTAATTAATTCGCAGGTTTTCTTTCGGAATCTCTTCTGCAAGTAATGCCTGTGCTGATTTTATTACGGAGTTTTTTCTGAACGTAGACATGCAATTTTATTATTAAATGTATTTCCTTCATTTTGTCTTCTTCACTTCGAGTTTAGTCTTCTTTAGTTTTTCGAAGCTTCTTTTCTTTAGCGCCTCTATTAGCTGCAGGCCATAAACTTGTTTACATATTTTTGGTTGTTTCATGTAAGTAATTATTTGTCAAATAATTATATTATTTGAACAGGTTTTTGATGGAGGATTCAAGGATCATCGAGTGATGAGTGCATGTGGTTATCAAACACCTGATCCAGTATTTAGTACTGGAAATTTATTAAGTTTGCATTCATTCCAAACTTCTTCTAGAAGATATACTGGTTATGACATTACATATGTTGCTACAGATAAAGGTAGGAATAACTATAATAACATGATAGATAATCATTTTTAAAAAATTATGCTTAAAAAATTTAATTTGCTAATTTCATTAGTTTTCTTTTAGAATGGAAAATCATTTTAAAGTTCTAGAGATATATTTAAAGAAACATTTAATTTTAATTATAATTTTTATTTTTTTTGAAGGTCGTGGTTGTGGAGGAAGAATATTTAATTTCGCCGGTAGATTTACTTCACCAATGTATCCTGGTCCATATAGAAAGGATGCTGAATGTACTTGGTTTATTAGTGTTCCTGTGGGCTTTAGAGTAGTGTTAAAGTTTACAGATTACGACCTTGGCTCAGACGAATTTTGCGAGTCAAACAAAATTCAAATAAGTAGTACCCATAAACTAGGTGCAATAGCTTGGTTCTACTGTGGATCGGTAAGACTAATTATTTTAATATTAATGTATTTTATTTTGAAATACTTCAAAAGATACAAAAATTATAAATTAAATGCCAAAAGTACTACTCCTTTTTAGGTCAAGCTTTAACGAATTTAATTTACAATTTACAGATGCGAGATATAGCTGATATTCATAGTTCAACTAATGAAATTGAAGTTGTATATACGACAAGTATAAACAATGCTGGTAAAGGATGGGCTATTGATTTTACTAGTGAGAAAAGCGGTACGTAAATTTATAAAAAAGCGTTTTTCATTGAAATTTTAAACAAAATAAATCATTACTAAAATGTTTTTTTTTAATTTCAGATCAAATTGCAAATGGTTGACATTTATAAAAGATAATCTTTTTTATTGGCTGTTTTCTTTATCATCAACTCATAAAATTATCCTTCTAAAATAGCATGTAATGTAATTATATTTATTTATATTGTTCAATTAAACTTTGTACATTTTTGGAAATACAGAAAATTTTACAATTTAAAATATTATAGAATATAATTAAATATATAAAAAATAATATAGTGAAATTAAATATATATATTTCTAAAGTCGTAAGGATTTTGCAGAAAAATTAGGAAAAAATAATTTTATCTCATTTTACCGATTTATGTAAAATTAGATGAAGAACAAAATTCTTTTAACATTAAATTAATATTAAACTATGTATTTTACTTTATGAGGTATTTGTAAGCGTATTAATTAAAAGAGATAATTTAAGAATTAAAATAGGAAAAACTTTATCATCTGTATAATCAACTTCTATTCAGTTTAAAGTTCAACTATGATATATGACCATACAAAAAATAGAATTTTATTTTAATTGTGTTTATTAAGCAGTAATTATATAAAACTCATGACATAGGAAAATAAAAGATACGTATTTTGTACAATTTAATTTCCGTAGATACAGAAAATCCATAAAGGATGTTACAAGTCATATTTAAGTAATAAAATTTAGTTCATCATACCTTATAATCATTTTTGTTTTTTCGCAACGTCGCAAAATGGCATACACTTTTTATTGGGCAACACAAAAAACTAATCCTTATGCGACCCAATTTCTCCAGCCTGTCCACCTCCTCTGATCGGTAACTACAATTGCGAGCTTCATTCCTTGTCGGTTGAGTTCTAAGACCGTCAACTTCCTGCTTCCAGGCTTCTGAAGCACTTGCTCTATCGCCAGTTGGACCTAGTCTTTCTAAAAATAAGTAAAGCAATCCGGGTCGCGGATCTCTAGTGTGACCTGTCGATGCACGGTCCTGCATCTTCACCATACTTCCAACTGCTTTAATGACTTGCGCGGTAAAAGCCTCTGTATTGATAAGTTTCCTCAGATTTTGATCAGGAAATCTCCCTTACTTGTAGGTCTAGCACCCATGAGCTGTATGTTGCTAACGTCCGGATTCTCTTTCCTCCGAAGGTTTCTCAGTTTTTCGGCATACGTTGTTACTGTTGCGACTCAAATCACCGTTATAGAACCACTAGTCTACTTCTTCTTACTGGTTTGCTTAAGATTCGGTACTACCGTCACCTTCGCAATCTTTTTGACAAGAGTTGCGTCCTCTTATTTTGCTTCTTCGCCTTGGTGTTAGCCCTCTCCGGACTGCCACAGCTTTTTCTTTGTTTTTGCGCCAGATGGAATCAAACTTCTTTCGCTGTTGACACTCGAAACGCTTGAAGCGCTTTCTCTTCTACTTCCAAGTATTTTCAAACAGACCGGGGGAACCTTAAGCAACTGCTTGTCTCCAAGGTCCATCCTTCTTGTAGCATTGGGTGCTGCTAATGCAGCGTGAGTAAGTACCAAATTTAATTATGAATTATTCCGTTTTAAGTCGATCTTATAATTATTAAAATCATAAATTTTAAAAGTTAAAACTAAATAAATTAAATTAATTAAGTCAACAAGTCAATAAAGCGGTTCAATATAAATTCTAAAATAAATCTTTAATTAATTCTCTTACAAAATTTTACTATAAGCCAATATCTCGTTATAAATGGCACCCTACGAGGGAATAAATCATCATATAAATCTTTTCTCAAAATAAATCATAAAAATAAAACAATCAAAATCTCTTTTAAAATTTTTTTAAAAACTTGTTATAAATGGCGCCTAATGTGGGTCCAGATAATCACATAAATCTGTCATAAAATGCAAATATCAAAATTCATTTAAGAAAAATATTATGAGCATAATATTTATATTGTTCAATTTAATTTCATACATTTTTAGAAATACACAATTAGATTTAAAAACTCTTTTATTGTAAATTGTATAAAACTTTATTTGCATAAATACAAATATTAATTACAAATTCAATACAGGTTTTTTAAAATTCTTTTCGCTTTGACCAATTTTTATAAAGGTGTTTCATTTTCTGTTATGTGTCCCTCTCTGCTGACTAAAAAATATATGTGCATTTTTACGTTTCTTTACATTTGTTTATGTTCCTCTGATTTGTCACTTTTACTTTTATCTTCATCATTCATTAATATACTTCTTTCATTTGTTTATGTTCCTCTGATTTGTCACTTTTACTTTTATCTTCATCATTCATTAATATACTTCTTTTCATTTGTTTATGTTCCTCTGATTTGTCACTTTTACTTTTATCTTCATCATTCATTAATATATTTCTTTTCATTTGTTTATGTTCCTCTGATTTGTCACTTTTACTTTTATCTTCATCATTCATTAATATACTTCTTTTCATATGTTTATGTTCCTCTGATTTATCACTTTTACTTTTATCTTCATCATTCATTTTTAGACTTCTTTTCATTTGTTTATGTTCTTCTGATTTGTCACTTTTACTTTTATCTTCATCATTCATTAATATACTTCTTTTCATATGTTTATGTTCCTCTGATTTATCACTTTTACTTTTATCTTCATCATTCATTTTTAGACTTCTTTTCATTTGTTTATGTTCTTCTGATTTATCACTTTTACTTTTATCTTCATCATTCATTTTTACACTTCTTTTCATTTGTTTATGTTCTTCTGATTTATCACTTTTACTTTTAGAAATGTCTTCATTTTCTTGTAAACTTCTTCGCAATTTTTTAATTTTCCTCAATTCTTCAATTTTTTTATCTAAACTATTATTATCACTGTGGGATCTTATACTTCTTTTTTTCATTTTTTTATTTTCCTTAGATTCATCACTTTTACTGTTTGATACATCATAAATTGGCCGTATGCTTCTTCGCGATTTTTTTTGTTTTGTTTTCGATTCTTTAGACTCTTCACTGCTCGAAGAAGAATCATTTTCCTTATTTTCTGATTTACCATTTTTCTGTTCATTAGCATTATTATCATTTTTTGCTTCTGGTTGATTTTCTTTTTTCTCTGTGTCTGGATTTTCTTCATTTACAGGTGCAGCCGGTGTTGTTGACGCTTCTTGTTCTTCATTTTGTCTTTTTGATCGATGTCTATTTTCATTAAAGTCAGGTACAAAATTTCTAAAAACAAAAAAATTTAGAAACATTATTTTTTCGTGTATTTTAAATTAATTTCATTATATAATTTTTAAGATAAACTTATTATTTTATTATCATTATTGTATTGGACACCTTGGGTACTGCAGCATCTAATGCCACAAGGAGGATGGACCATGGATGCACCCAGTTTCTTAAGATTCTCTAGGTGCGTTTGGAAAGACTTGGAAGAAGAAGAGGAAGCTCTTTAAGCGTTTCGAGTCTCAGCGGCGGAAAAAGTTTGATTCCGTCTGACCTAAACAACGAGACAATTAAAGAAGAACGCGAGAAGTGTTTAAAGTTTAGACAGGAGGAAGATGAGTGGCTTCAGAGGATCGAAGAGGAGATCGTCAAAATGGTAAAGTCTTAAGAAGTACAGAAGAATGTCAACATGTCTATTAAGGACTGACTTAAGACTTTTCAGGATCTTGTCAGTGAGGTGAAGACAAAGCACGTCCTATCAGACAATGGAGATGATAACTTTGGTGGCGCTATAGGCAATTCTGAAGTGAACAGAGTAGAGCGAAACAGAAAAAGAGAGCGTATCCATGAGAATCAGCTTCGGCGCGCAGTCATAGAGGCGCACAAACGAAGAAAAATTTGTGACAGTCCAGACAGGGCTAACGCCGAGGCGAAGAAGAGAAACCAAGAGAAAGCGCCTCTTGTCGAAAAGATTGCGAAAGAGACGTTAACCTCAAATCCTAAACAAACCAATAAGAAAAAAGCGACGACTGGATCTACAATGGTAATCCGAGTTTCAACTCGAACAACGTATGCCGACACGCAGCCTGAAGGTGCTGGGTCTACTAGAAGGAGAGATCTCCTGATTAAAATTGGAGGAGACTCCAATAAGGAGGCATTTACCACTGAGGTCACCAAAGTGGTCGGAAGCATGGGTAAGGTGCAGACTGTAGATCAACAGATCACAGTGGAGATCCACGACCTGGTTTGCATTTCCTAGGAAGAGGAGGTCGAGCAGACGTTGGCGGAAGTACATTAGAAGCCAGGAAACAGAAAGGTGACGGTCCTAGGACCCAAACGACGAGGAATGAAGCTCGCGGTTGTAGTCACTGACCCAGAGGAGGCCCGCCGTCGCGGCCCCGGCATCAGAATAGGGCCCCCGTAGGTTACCGCGTGTCGTAAGAGGCGACTAAAGAGTACCCCCTGTTGGAACGAGAGCGGAGTCCCAGCTAGGGGCTGGCAGTGTAGAGGCGTTCATGCAAGTCAAATATTTGTTCTTCCGTCCTCAATGCGATCCGTGCGAGTCGGATAATTGAGAATGCGTCCCAAAAGCCACGGTGATGATAGTGAACTCCCGTAATGGTAATGGTAAAGGACGATGGTCTGTGTTATACTTGCAACTGTTATTGTCTGAGGAGGTTTGCTTTAGAGTTTTTCTGGCATCAATCTCGTCACTGCCAACAATTAACAAACCTGTGTAACATTGGTCAATAAGCATCCCAAAATGCCGAATGGTTCAATCGTGATGTTCCAATAGGCTAATGGTAAAGGATAGTGGCTTCGGCACATGTTGCCGCTTGCCTTGACCTGAAGTAGTTCCGAGTTTTTCGTAAATCACTACCTTCCGGTTGGTCTTGGCATATATGTGGTGCATGTTGTCGTATTTAACCGGTAACCGACCACCAGTATAGCCTCCGGTTCCCCGGATACTGGAAAGTGGTACTCATACCTGAGTAGAATGGTACCATGGGACGTGTCTGGAGCCCATGAGACCCTTAGGTCTCCGCCAGGCATTGGGTATGGATTCTTGGTGGCAGTGGTTACAGCCCACATCGCTTGGGGTTAGCGTGCGTTAGCACGTTGTGCACACGTCTTTCGCATTCGGTGTGTGAGTTGCATTAACTCAACTCGGGTGGAAACCTGCAGAGTTTCCAGGGATTGGAAAGGTCCCGGCTCTCACCAAGAGTGGCAATCGTGACTAAGGTCGGTCGCATTGTCAATTGGCAGGTGACTGGAAGAAATTCTGCGTCATCGGTGCTGGTCAGGCATTAACTCTTGACCCCGTGTCCCATGGGGGACCGTGTGGGAGTACCTGTACAGGGAGATCTCGCACGTCAAAACTTATAGGCCACTGACCCAGAGGAGGCAGACAGGCTGCAGAAATTGGGCGTATATGGGTTGGCTTTATGTATTGCCCAATGAAAAAAATGTGATGGTCGTTCGGTGCCACCGATGCCTGGCGTACGACCCCATAGGGAGAGTTTGTAAGGCAGCAGTGGACAGATCAACTGCGTGCTTCAAGTGCGGTGAAGTAGATCATAAGTTTGCAAACTGCAGTAGAAGTCCAAGCTACTTCTTATGTAGAAAAAAATATGTCGATAAGGCGAACATCAGCCATTTCGCAGACAGCCAGAAAGATCGACAAGGACAAAGATCGCGAAATCGGGATCTGAGGGATCTTCACCTACGAAATTTAAAGCTTGACGGAAGTTCCGTATTGTAAAAATTAACATCGGAGCACCGGGCTTTAGGTATCTGCCTTGGATACCAAGGGTTATGCAGATTTTCCATTTTCCTCATAAAATAAAAATAAATAATAATAATTATAATAAAAAAATATTTATTTATTATTTTTATGATGTAAAATTAGTTACTCACTTCAATTGTTTTTCTGAATGCTTTAAATTTCTTTTTCCGGAAACTGAATATGTTTTGTATGATTTTTTAGCCGAAACATCAGCAAGCACACATATTGTTATTAATAATAAAGTTGTAATTAAATAAAACCTGAAAATAATTATAATTGCATTTTGAATATATATATGATTTATAAAATACATATGATTTTGTCAAAAAAATTATAGAAAATTATTTTTACCTCATTTTAATGCTTTATGTAAAATTAGAATAAGAACAAACTTCTTTGAAGACAAAATTAACATTGAACTGTGATTTTCACTTCCTGAAGTATTTATAAGCGTATCAATTAAGAGAGAGATTGATAAATTGTGCAAAAATAAATAAAAGAAAAAGTTTATAATCTTTAGGAATAGTTTAAGAGAAGTTAGTGATAATATTCTATATTAAACTTTTATTCAGATTAAAGTTCAAATATGATATGTGGTCTTTAAAAAAATTGAATTTTTTAAATTTTAATGTGTTTTATAAACTGTAATTACATAAAACTTGACATTGAAAACTAAAAGATAAATTAATTTCTAACTAGTTTCAGAAAATCTTAAAAACTAAATATGTCTACTAAATATAAATATGTCATTTATAAAACTAATTTTTTGAGGTAAATGTAACGAAGGTAATAATGAATTCAATATTATGAAAATTATACATTTTTATTTGTTTAATCTTATATTTTTTGTAGTACAATTCTGAGTTGTTATTTAAAGTTCAATATCACAATATAATTTTAGGGAATAAGTACTTTTATAGTTAGACATTATTTTTAAATTTTTCAATGAATTCTGTTAAATTTATATAGTTGTGAAAAATAATTAGTTACGCAAATAAAAGAAGAATAAGAAACATTTATTAAATTTGCTTTTCCTAACTAATTTTAAATTTTAATAAGTGTTTAAAATTTGGACAATACGTTTAATAATACAAAAAATTTTATTTTAATTTAATAAATTTAACAAACATCATTATTTTATTAAGTAAATACATATAATTTATCAGTAATTTTTTGTTTTTGTGATGTCAAATTTATTTTTTAAGTAACATTTTTTCTCTCGAGTCTGATTAAAATAAAGACTCGAAAGTAATTTTTTAATGGCTGTATTGTTAATATTGCAAGAATTAAATAATTCTCTTTTTTAAGGAATTATAAAATGTACATTTAAAAATCTTCACATATGGTACTTTTTTCCTAATTTATGTATACAAGTCTATTCTAAAAATACAGAAAAATTCTTAGAAAAAAGAAAATTAAATTCATCCTTAACATTAATTGTTTGACTTTAATTAGAAATTAGAAAAAAATTCCCAGTAATCACTATTTTAGAGAAAAAATTTACTTTACAAGAAATGTGCGCTTAAATGAAGAAAAAGTTAACATTTATTTTTACAATTTACATTTGTTATTTAATTTTAAATTGAAATTGTTAATAAAAATTAAAGATCAAAATTATATCTTAAAATAAATCTTTTCTCTTTATATTCAAGAATAAATTTGCTACAGTTATAATAAATCAGAAGAATAGAAGAATTGTTATAGTTATATTAATGTAAGATTAAAGAATAATTTTTTTTGTCCTTTAAAATTGAATTTATATATATTTGTCATAAACTATTGTTTATAATTTGTAATTTGCAATTCCAAAGCTTCAGAAATAATAAACGTGTTCGATCGTATAATAGAAAGGAATATTTTTTTTTACAAGATTTTACACAATTCGCAAAATTGTTTACTATCGTTCTGAGATTTTGGAAGGCACTCAATAGATTATATTTTCACATAATATTTAAATCTGTCATGTAAGATTCTTTTTTTTCGTCATCGATTGTATTATTTTCATTTTTTCATATACTCGGTCCTATAATACGTAAAATACACAAGATATTATACCATTTTTTTTTCATTTCACTACATTGTCATGTAAGTACACTGTTAAATAACTTTTTTTTTTGATTGAATATTGTTCTTTCTTTTCATTGACTTTTAAAAAGTATATGACACTAATATTTTTACATATAATAAGAAAAATAAAAAAATTTAGATATTTTGAAAATTTGAATAAAGAATAAAGAAAATTTAAGTAATAATTGAAAAATTTTTGAGTGTCTGAATTTTTTATTACATTTAATTATTTTTGAAATATTTTGGAAAAAATAATTCTAAAAATTGGATTAAATGATTTTAATAATGATTAAATTATGTTTCAAAATTTGAATTTTTTTTTATGTCAGGTGTAAAATACTTTTTATTACATTTTTTTTACAAGCAAAGAAAAATCTACTCTCTGAATTCAAATTTTTCTAATAATTTTAACTACCATTTAGAAAGTAGCCATTTTTTTAAATTATAAATTTTTTAACTATTTATCATTAAAACTAAAAATTTAGAACTTCAAAAACACAATTCACTGATTATAAAAATTTAAATTTTTACAAATTTTAAGAGTAGATTAAATTTTATTCTAAATCAGTTATTTTTTCACAGTTGTCTTTATAATGTTTTTATAGTTGTGCTAATATTGTAAATTGCAAATTGTGCGAACTAATAATTTTTGCAAATTTTGTTTTTTTTTTTCTAAAATTTTCAATTATTTAATAATACTCGTATATATTTTAAACTATCTAGTTATATTAAAAGAAATGAAAAATCTTCACACAATTGCAAAATATAATTACACATATTTGGTTCTCCCATTGTCGTAAATTATTCACATGGAATGATAAAAGATTACGAGAAATAGTTTTATCTGCATTTATATATATAACGGAATATTAAAGTCTATATATATTATATGTTAATGTTCTAATGTCAATTATAAAATTAATTCTGATTCACGTTTATGAAACATTTCTCACAACAGTTTAGTGGAAAAATATTTCCATTTTATTATTACATATATACGTGTTTAGTATTAACAAATGAGTTCTAAAATGTCTTCTATTTCGATACTGAGCGTTCATAAAATATATCTTAATATTCGATTCTGGATGAATTACGTTTACGTGTATGATTTATCGTTTTTTTTACATATAATTAATCTTTGGACAAATTTGATCGACTTGAAACAATTTTTCCATTTTTACTAGGAGATTCCTTTAATGGTTGCCAATCTTCTTGTACGGATGGAGGGAATTTTTGATCGGGATAATTCCACGCTTGAATGTCAGCTGTACCAAAAATTTGATACACGATATATGTACCACAAGCTATTACAGCAGTGACACCAAAAACTGTTCTCCAAGCGTCCAAAGAATACTGTAAAAATAAAATTAAAAAAAAATTTAGATGATTACTATTTGCTAAAATTTACAATTTAATAATTAACTTACACTGTCTTTTATCATAAATCCAGCTGCTAATGGTGACAGAAAACTAGCTGTCATATGAATTGTTTGTGCAAAGGCAAGAACGGGACCTGTAATTTCAAAAATAACGGACACATAAGTCTTAAATTTCGGATTTTAGGTATAAAATAATAAAAACAAAATCATTTTAATACAATATATTTACCCGCAAAATTTGGTGCAATATCCACAATATTCGCCATTGCACCAGCATAAGAGGCTGTTATTAAAGTAACAGCAATAAACCAAACTATAAGCGCTAAAATAATGTCACAACCTAAGTAACCTATTAGAATAACTAAGATCCCTGGAACAATTTGTGCTGTGAACAAATTTTTTCACATTAGAGATTCAATAGTAATTACACTAACAGTAAAATTTCAAAATACAATTTATATAAACTTACAGAGAGCAGTGAATACTTTTCGAACATTAGTTAAAGTCATTATTTGCCTCCTAACTAGTAAGTCTGCAATGTAACAGAAGACTACTGAACTTAAGTAACTGCAGATAAAGGGGGCTCCACTTAAAATACCATTCTGAAAAGAATTAGGGGATAAAAAAAATAATTGTATATTATAATTACAATTAATAAAATACAAAAATTGTTTAGCGCCACTCACAGCTTGAATACTAAATCCTAGGACGGTTTTCATGTATTTTGGTCCAGGAATAATGAAGATGTAGTGCACCCATATCCTACCAAATGTTGTTATCCCTATGGACCAAGCAGGCCACGAAGTGAGAATTGATTTCCATGGAACTGGCAAGTCCTGTTGAATTAAGAAAACAAAAATACAAATTGCAATCATAAGCTGTTGAGACCCTCAACAGATTTGGAAATTGTATTTATCCTTTTTTTTGCCTTTATTATATTTTTTGAAACTTTAGTTATCCCTAAATGTGAGATATGAAAATATTTGAAGATTAAGTTTATTACTTATACCGAAAATAATTTAGAATTTTTGTAAACTGCTTGAACGTTTCGAACTTTTTGTACCTTTTAGGATTATATTTATCTATATTGCCTTAGTAATAAATCTGTAAACTTATAAATCGAAATTAGCGGAAGTTTGGGTTATCTGCACCACGCCTTGTCGTTAAGGGATTACGTTTATGATCGTGTTTACGATTTAAGGATGCATCTGCAGAAATATACGTCGAAAATGGCTAAAACCTGTATCGCCATTTTATTTTACTCCCACTATTTTCTCAGCCCCCACTATGTATTTTGAGTCTTTGACACTTTTTGTACAGCTGACTCAGGTCAGAATCCTTCTAACAGTCTTAGGTTAAGGATCTATGTCTTTAAAATAAACGTATTATTATAGTTGAAATTCTCAAACATTTTATTCAATAACCTATGTACTTAAATTAATTTAAATTCTTTAAATTAACGATATATTTATTGAATTAAAGTCGCGTATAACACTTGACAACGAAAATCAAGTTTTTTAACAAAAAAGGTTATACGAGTCACAACATAAAATTTGGTCCTTCGAGCCGGATCCAGCATCAATGGATCGGCAGTTACATCACAATCTACAAGGTTATTGAGGATTTAGAGGTGTCTTTACAAGCATTAACGAAAAACGAAAATTATCAACCAAATGCATTGGTAAAAAGTGAAGATTCTTCCTTTCAAAATCTTATGAACGAGCCGAGAATTCAACGCATTAATCTTATCGTTGATCTTCTAATCACAACGATTGATCATCATTGAACGTGAACGATATCCAGCATTATTCAATTAGTATTTGTACAATAACGCAAACATTGTACTAAACTTTATTCTACAACGGAACGAGTGCACCGAACGAGATCAATATTTAATTCAATAAAACTTACATTGAATTAAAGTAGCAGATTTTTGTCGAGAACGTAGCAACCTATCATCAACGAGGAACTCAAAACCTGTGAAGTGAATAAAACTTTGACAATAATAGTGAACTGTTAAGGTTATTCGTCATTATAATGTGTCATTGATCGTTAATGTGTTAAAGTGTATTTTTCATATTCAATTCGTCATTTTAACTATCAGTGTAAAGTTCATCACAAGAGTTCCAGAAGGGTGAGTCTTGCATGTTTGTTTTTGAATCACATTTAATAATTTCCAAGATTTCCACTTTTTACCTTTAATACACTATATCTCAGCTGCATAAAAATGTCTAACGAAAATCGAATAAAAACGTTAAGAAGGCTCATCGGTACCTTGAAATCGAAATTAACGCGAGCTGAGAAGTTTCTTCAAAAACCTATCGATTCTCTAGACCTTCTCGAATTAAAGGCTAAATTAGCTGATTTAAATTTAGTTAAAACAAATTTTGATGAAAAACAAACCGAAATGGAATTATTAGTGCCCGACAATGAAATCGATAAAGAGTATGAAATTAGAGGCGATTTCGAAGACAAACTTTCCGCGCTTTGCGCCAAGGCACAGGGACTAATTAATATAAAGACTCCGATAATTACGAATCAGTTAAATGTACAGTCAAACTCGCGTGATACGGTCAGTGAAAATATTCCGCAAATTAACACGCCTGGCTCCAGTTTCATGCATCCGATAAACGAACAAGTAATAAATGTTAAATTACCTGCACTAAATTTACCATCTTTTAGCGGTTCTTACGAAAAATGGCCGGGTTTTAGCGATGTTTTCAAATCCTCGGTTCATAATGATAAACGCTACACAGATGCCCAAAAACTCGTGTATTTGCGATCTTGTTTGTCAGATAAGGCTGCCGATAAAATAGAGTCTTTAGAAACTACTGATGCTAATTATCAAGTCGCGTGGAAGATATTAGAGAAGTATTACGATGATCCTACTCTAGTTATTAATAATCATATCAAATCTTTCTTTGAATTACCTAATTGTCATAATGCATCAGCATCTTCCCTCGGAGATCTCTTAAACAATGTAACGAAACATTATCGCGCATTAGAGGCTTTAAATAGACCGTTTCTCCAAGCCTTTCCAATTTATGCAGTAACTTCAAAATTAGATCCTCAAACGCGTTTGAAATGGAAGGAGCACATGCAATCTAACAATAATCCAACAATGGAAGAATTACTTGAATTTTTACACTTTCGTGAAAAGGTCTTAGAAGTCAATAAAGTAGGAAATAAACACGATAAACAAGAAAAAAACCTCCCGCGCAAGGATAATAATCCACAACGTAATGGTAATCGTCCTAATCAGCAATCCAATGCAAATCGCATTGCATCGTATCACACTACACACAAATCTCCCTTCTGTCATGTTTGCAAGGAATCACATTTTACACAAAGCTGTGAAAAATTGGTAAATGTAAATCTAGCTGAACGTTTAGAAATTGTAAAAAATCTAAATTTATGTACCAATTGTTTACGAAGCAATCATACTGTGGAAAATTGCAAGTCTGTTCTTTGTAAAACTTGTAATAAAAAACACCACACCCTTCTGCATGAAGATGACAAGAAAAAGGCTCAGGTTAATTTTGCTAGTTTACACAATGTAGCGTCTTCTCAAATTCTATTATCAACCGCAATGATTCACATTTTAGATCGCAAGGGAAACCCACACACATGTAGGGCTCTTCTTGATAATGGTTCACAAGTTCATTTTATCACTGAAAAAATGGCCGCGAAATTAGAACTGAAACAATTCGATCGTGAAATTCCTCTTGGTGGCGTGAATCAGATGAGTTCTTGTATAAGCAAAATAACGAGTGCCACTATTGAATCGCGATTAAATAAATACAGCACTAACTTGACATTTTTGATAACCCAGTCAATTAACGAATATACTCCAAGTGAATCAATAAATAGGACTGCGTTAAAAATTCCTCCCAATATCCGCTTGGCCGATCCAGAATTTCATATACCCGGGTCAATCGATATTCTCATAGGTGCAGAAATATTCTTGAAATTGCTTTGTGTTGGTCAAATATCGTTAGTTAATAACAGTGTCACCTTACAGAAAACTCACTTAGAGTGGATATTAGGTGGAAAAATCCCCGGATTAGAAATTTCTAAAGCAGTTACTTGCAATCTTTCTTTAAATTTATTGCACAATCAAATATCAAAATTCTGGGAAATCGAAAATGTACCTAATGAAAATGTCTTATCCAATGAAGAGATGAATTGCGAAGATCATTATAAGGATAATACAATTCGAAACGAAAAAACTGGTAAATATATGGTTAGGCTCCCAACCAAGGGAAATGTAAAGGAACTCGGTGAATCATATAGTCGAGCACTTAAACGATTTTACGCTCTAGAACGTTCTTTAAACAAACAACCTGATCTTAAAATGCAATATACTGAATTTTTGAAGGAATATGAGGATTTAGGTCACATGACGGAAATCGCGTCAGATTCTTTTTCGGACGGTTATTTTTTGCCTCATCACCCCGTAATTAAAAAGTCAAGTTTGACAACGAAACTCCGTGTAGTTTTCGACGCCTCGGCAAAAACATCAACGGGAATATCTCTAAATGATGTGCTCATGGTAGGTCCCAATCTCCAAGATGATCTCTTTTCTTTATTGGTACGCTTTCGATCTCACGTGTATGCGATAACTGCCGATATCACGAAAATGTACCGCCAAATCGAACTTCATCCCGATGATCGCAAATTTCAAAAGATTCTTTGGCGAGAAAATTGTGATCAACCTATAAAAATCTTCGCTTTAAATACAGTTACATACGGGACTGCTTCTGCCTCTTTTTTAGCAACACGTTCGTTAATTCAATTGGCTAATGATGTGCAAGAATCATATCCTAACGCAGCTACTGCATTAAAAGAAGATTTTTATGTAGACGATTTAGTTTCCGGTAAGCGTGAATTTAACGAAGCTAAAAATTTAGTAAACGAATTAATTAGCGTTTCGGAATACGGCGGAATGCCGCTGAGACAATGGGCTTCAAATGAACCTGATCTTATCTCTGATCTGTCAAAGGAATCTAACGATGCTCATATTTGCTTGAATTTCGGAGAAACTACTAAAACGTTAGGCATCTATTGGAACCCTAGGTCCGATTCTCTAAAATATTCTGTTACAAAATCGAATATCGATACATCCATCACAAAAAGAACAATATTATCCCAAATTGCACAATTATTTGATCCTCTCGGGCTTTTAGGGCCTGTTATTTTACAGGCAAAAATTATGATGCAATCATTGTGGTTACTGGAACTAGATTGGGACGAGTCTTTCCTCAACAAGTGTATACAGCTTGGTCTGATTTTCAAAATCAACTTCCCCTTTTACATGAATTAAATATCGATCGAAAAATAGTTCTCAATGATTATTCACGTTTAGAGATGCACGGGTTCTGTGATGCCAGTGAGAAGGCTTACGGAGCTTGTGTCTATCTTCGATCCATTAACAATCAAGGGAAAGTTGATACACATTTGATATGCTCTAAATCGCGAGTCGCTCCTCTTAAAAATTTAACGTTACCTCGTCTCGAACTTTGTGCTGCTTTACTATTATGTAACTTATTTAAATCAACATCTCACGCGTTGCGCAGATTAACAGTTCAAAGGGTAATTTTTTGGTCGGACTCGACAATCGCTCTACATTGGATCAAAAGCCCTCCTCACACATTAAAAACATTTGAATCAAATCGAGTTGCTAAAATCCAAGAAATTTCGAATCAATACGAATGGCGTCATGTTCGAACTGAACATAATCCGGCGGATCTAGTTTCGCGAGGTCTTTCTCCCAGAGAAATCATACAAAACTCCTTTTGGTTCAATGGTCCTTTATGGATAAATGACCATGATGAAA